GTTTTTCTTTCAATGCTGCATATTGTATTGAGTTTAAAAATACTCAACAGAAGAGTTGAACAATTTGAAAGTTTCTCTGTTATTCTCGTTCTGATTTAAGTTTTAAAAAGTATTGAATATCCTTGAAAATCTGCACATATTGAATCATAAAAAGTGTTTAATATTGATTCCTCAATCTACTTTGTAATTTTTAAATTCTACTAATCAAAGATTAGATTGTTAGGTTTTACTACTTTATTGGTTAATGAGGGACAATGATTTCCAATTTATTTTTGTATGACCATGGAGATTAAGCCAAGATTGCATTTTCTTTTTATTGTTGCTATAACCTCTCCACAAAAGCTTAGAAGGAGAAAATCAAGGATCCCCATTTGTTTCAAAGAAGAAAACTCAATGTGTGCATTTTTCTATTTATACATTAGCATAAATATGTCTGGGTCAATATTATCTGACAATACGTGAACCAAAGTAGTCTTTGAATCTTGATTTAATCAATTAAAAGCTACAGTAGAAACTTGTAGTTAAGTGCTTGCCTATTTTGCCATCATTAGTGAGTTTGGGATTTTGGTCACTTTCAAATGGGGAAGGGGAGGCTTGTGAAAATGCAGCCAGAATAATGAGTGTCACTGATTACCAGGGACTTACTATTATCAGAATTTCCTAGTAGTACACAAGTAGCAGTACTGAAAATAGTTTAGGAAACTAGCACTGTGTATCATTGTTTTTTTTCTCAGCTCTGGATAGCTGTCACGCTAGCTAATCAATGGTGACTAGGATCATCAGCCTGTCGTATTTAATTGTTGCACACTGGGCCTCAGCCAGAGGCACATCGGACAAATGCTCAGTGGTTGCACTTCAACTCTGTTTATATTTTCAGTGCACTTTTAGACTTGAGATAAATCTTACATAGTAATTGGCCAAGCTTTCATTTGCAGATGCTCAACTGGTGAAGTATTCAATAACCCTCATAAGTATTATTTAGAATTGGCACCTGATTAGGTCTCCAGTTTTAGTATTCAGAGACACCATTTNAAAAAAAACTGCAGAGCAATATACTGTATATTTAAACAGACCTCTTCAAATTCTAGTTGCATAATTTGTGCTGACTGTCTGGTCTTCCTGTTTATTTAGGAGTATAACATTTGTTTAACTTTCACCATCACATTTTTGTGTCTACAAATAATACACAACTTGAACTGTAGAGTACATAGACTATACATGTTGTTGTTGTATACACTACAGAAACAGGCCATTTGGCCTATCTAGTCCATGCTCGTGTTTATAGAGTCGACTCTTGCTAATTGCCCTTCTGATCCTCTCTGTTCGTTTCTCCCTGTATGCATTAGGTTTCCTCTTAAATGTGTTGGTGCTTTCTGCTTCATCCACAGTAGGAGAAGTGACTTATACACTAGCCTATTTTCCATGAATGGATGACTATTTCAATAAATTTTAATATGCTGTAATGGTTTAAAGGGCACTATCATGACATGGAACTACGCAATCTTGCTGCTGATAGTTAGACCTGTTTAATTTAATTTCAAGAAGTCCATTAGGCATTTCTGAAGTGCTGTCAACTTTATCTCGTCTTTTCAATAACCCATCCAGTTGAGCAATGGTAATGTCCCAATGGAATTTGCCATTGGTCTTGTAGAGTCTTAGTAAATGAAGATCCTTCAAACCACACGGACAAAGGAAAATCTGTGGATTAGCCTTTGTTTATGAACTGATGATCTATTTTCTTATGTACATTGTTTTTGCTACAAGTCCTCCTCCCAGTAGTGAATGTTGTATAAATAGAGCAGCTTCATTTCTTGTGGGAAAACCTAGAAATGTGCTTCCTGTAAAGGATTTGTAGCTTTTTGTTTCTCAAAACGTCACTTGTACAGTTCTGGAAATTTCCATTACTTTGTGTCTCACTAGATCACATTTGCAGCTATGGAAAAGCAAAATAGGCAGATGTCATCCTTTAATCCTTTAATGTATAGTATCCTATATGTGAGGTTTTCGGTCAGTTACCTGACAATGAAACCCATCACCATACTTGAGAGGCTCTATAATAATAATAATAATATACCAAAGTACAGAGAGTTCCACGCAAGTAGTTTCCATTTAGGATAGAGTGTGCATTCTTTCTCCAGAGGACCCCTGCTTACCGAATCCCAATGAGTATTCGGGTGCAGAATAGCAAGAACCAAGGCTCGGGGACCCTAGAGTGTGTATTGTGGTACTGTTAAGAGTTTAACCAGTTAAACCCATGGAGCTTATCATGGTGAAGATTGGTGAGCTTTCCACTGCTTGTCATTCTAGGAACACCATATTTGGTTTGCAAAGTTATTAGGAGCAGAATGGGAAGAATCCTGCTCCTCCAAGTCCTGGCAAATGAGCCTGACTTGCCTCCCCACATGAAGGGAAGTATGTGAAGCGGATTCAACTTTTTTTAAAAATAAAAAAAAAATCTGTTTTTCCGTCCTTGCAGTTTGTTCCATGACAGAATCTGTTCTGCTCCTTACTTTTTATTAATTCATAAGAAAAGCCCAAAGGTATTCCATTGTTTTTTTTTATCTTTTAGTGGCCTGGAGAATTCAGTGACCTGATCGATTTTATAAATTTGATTGTTTCACATCTCCATTCATCCATATGGGGGGAATGTTTTCTGAAGCCTCAAGGAATAAAAACATTTAACCTTTAATGTTGTTCGTGACGAGAGTTTTTTGCTTTGCTTTATAAAATGTTTTGTGTAAGTCTAAAATGGAGTTCAAGAGGCCCTTTGCAGCATTTGTGGTCCTTAACTATGAGAACTGCAGGCATTGAGACATTCCCTGGTGGCCAGGCCTTTATCAGGGGAGATGATAGGGTTCAGATTTCATCTGGAAACCAGCATCTTCCTTTGAACAACCAGGCAGTTTAACTGGTCTGTAAATAACATTGTGCAGCACAGGTTCAACTGTGCCAGAAATGCAGAACTGTGTCAAGGTACTGCAGGTTAGGAGGTTCACACTTCTGAACTGCCTGGGTATATTGGTGGAGGAGGGAAAGATTGGTGGCAAACATCCCATTTACATTTAAGACTTACACATAATAATCCCTCCCAAAAAAAACAATAATTAAATTGGTCATTTTCAATCTACGACTGTTTGTGGGACATTGCTGTGCGCAATTGGCTGCCGCGTTCGCCCACAAATATACAGTCAATTCACTTTACAGTGTGTTCTGTGAAGCGCTTTGGGACGTCCTCCCGACGTGAAAAGCGCTATATCAAATGCAAGGATTATTATTATTTATTATTATTATTATTTTGTTGGTGTTCATCTACAAGTTAGACCAGCACTACACTTTACAGTGAAATCCTGTGAAATGCTTTGAGATATTTTGACAATGTAATGAGGCACTATATCAAGAGCAAGGATTATTGTTATTTATTATTTTAGAGGTTTGTTTCATTCCGGAGGAGGGTCGGTCTACCTTAATGCAGAGAAAACCAATGTTAATCATAATAATCCTTACATTTGTTACAGTATCTATTGGGAGGACGTTTCAAAACACTTCAAGATTCACTGTAAATAATAATAATCCTTGCATTTAGTATACAGCCTCATCACGTCTTTGAGACATCTCAAAGGATGTACTGGAAAGTGAATTAACTGTATATTTTTGGGGCAAAAGTGCAGTGACTGTGTTCTGTAGGCAAACGCAGCAGTTTGTGCATAGCAACCTCCCTGAAAATAGTCGTGAAGTAAGTGAGCAATTTTATCCGGGGGTATTGTCAGCCAGGATACTGGAAGAGAGAAACTCCCTTCTCTTTTTTTCCCTCTCCCTCCCTCACAGTGCTATGTAATTTGTGTGGGGGAGAGGGTGGGGGGAGATGTTTCAACTTCACAGAAACCACCCTCTAAAATCCATGCCAGAGTTAGTTCCTAACTAGCAGAAATTCCGGTCTATGTGGGCTGACAAGTTCTGTAGGGTTTATTGTCGCACTGAAAATTACAGTACTGATGCTGCTCATATATCAAGATGCAACGTCGTAACTAATTATTAACCCTTGACTGTTATATTAACCCACGCCTATTAAATCACAAGATTATTTAAAAAGTCAGTTTGATGCTGTGATAGGAGAACAGTAGGGTGGGTATTCTGGAGCGATGAGATCAGATGGGCCAAAGCGAATGTTTCATCCAAACCGATCTTGTGAAGCTTCAACACACCTTTGAAAGCCCCACTCAGAGATTCCACAAGTGCAAAAAATACTCGCTGTGCTTTAAGATAATCCAAGTGCATAACCTAGTGGTGCAGGAGTTAACATCCTTTGCTATTGCCTACCATAAGAACATTGCTTGCAGCTTTACAGTACACTTTACAGAATAAGGTGCCATATCAAATGCAAGGATTTTTATTACTATTTTCCTTCATGTGATATAGATTGACAAATTACCGTGGTGGCAACTGTGTAATTGCCAGGCTTTAACCTCAGTGCCTTGGGACATCCCCCCGACGTGAAAGGCGCTCTATAAATGTAATTTTGTTGTTGTTGTGGTGTATTGCTCTATGGCCCTTTGGCACCCACCTCAGTTTCTCCACTCTATGAACAAAATTGAATCCAGACCTGGTATCCATCACAGATGTAGCAGTTCTTACTTGGGCTGCTTCTTTGAGTATGTGGTTGGAAGGTTCCATTTTTTAACATCCTAGCAATTTGTTTTCTTAATTGGTATCAAAACCATAAAAGGAGCTTTTAGTAGCACAGTTCCAGTTCTGATAACACCCAAAACATTAACCTTTCTCAGTTGGATTTTGATTGACCTGAAATGTGTTTCCAGCATTTTCTGTTCATTTTAGATTCTTCATCCTCCCAAATCAAGACAAAATCATTTGCAGCTTTCTGATGTGTTTGACATGAGTGCTTTTCTGTTATTACAAGAGATGTATATGATAATTACAGCTGTATTGCAAGGGTTTAGTACTCATGTTGCCTGCCTTAAACTTGCTTTTTTTTGGACTTCCAGCCAAGTACCCTACCACAGGGGACAGTTAACATGAACCAATGTACAGATGTCATTGATGCTGAACCCAAGACCGGACAGAAGAATGCGCTCTGCATCATCACACCTGAACGGGAATTCTTCATCCGTGGAGAGTCCAAAGAAATAATTAATGGGTGAGTTTCTTTAGAGCATTGTTTCCCAAAATCTTTTTCATTTCATTGATAACACATCAATGGTTCAGGCTTTGTTGTCATAAATCTTGATAAAACGGGTTTTGATACATATTCATGTTGGGATATAAAATGAATAAGAACACAAATATAGAAACCTCTACAAACCTGCAATGATACTGTTGGAATTCAATAGTACGCACCTTTTTAGCTCAGCAAAAATCCATAAGTCACTTTAAATTTTAAATGGGAAAACTTGAATGGTATCTTTGCACTATTTATATTTCAATCGGCCTGTTACCTCATTGCATTGCGTGTTGGCAAACTGAAACCAACACCCATTTATAAAGAAAATCTAGAGTAGATTGCAAAGAGTATGTTTGTCTCGATGAATGGGGGGCCAAATTGATTATGGCAGGACCTTGGCCTTGGATGAGAACAATGGCAAGTTATGCATTTAGCAGAGAATTGAGTAGCTCAGTTCATTGGATGCTAATTTCTGAAGGAATTTTGAGTTCACTTTCTTGAGTTCAGTACCTTGTTATCCACAATTGGATGTCTTTTAAAATGCTGTCTGAGAGTGAAAGTCTAGGTGTCAGCCAGGATCAGTCGGTAGCACTCTCACATCTGAGTCAGAAGATTGTGTTGAATCCCCACGCATAGTTCGTGGAGTCCTGTAGCTCAGTGGTTAGAGCACTCGCTTTGCAAGTGAGAGACCTGAGTTCAATTCCAGGCAGAGGGCGAAACCTCGGGCAAGTTTCCTTACTCCTTACTCCACACAGAGCCTAATAATAATCCTCCAAAACCAAAAACAATAATAAATTGGTCATTTTCAATCTACGACTGTTTGTGGGACATTGCTGTGCGCCATTGGCTGCCGCGTTCGCCCACAAATATACAGTCAATTCACTTTACAGTGTGTTCTGTGAAGCGCTTTGGGACGTCCTCCCGACGTGAAAAGCGCTATATCAAATGCAAGGATTATTATTATTATTATTATAGTTCTAAGCGGACACTCCCAATGCAATGCTGGAGATGTCCATAGATAATCTGTTAAACTAATATCCTGTCTACCTGTTCGGGTGGATGTTTAAAGATCCTATGGCATTATTTTAAAAGAGAAAAGGACCTTCTCTGTTTCCTGGCTAACAATTCCTCAGATAAAATTGGTTATTCACTTTTATGGGGCATTGTTGTGTGCACGTTGGCTGCCAATGCAAATCGTACAGTAAAATCCTGTGATACGTTTATATGTGCTACATGAATATGATAACCTAATTGTATTACTGATTCATAAACATATAAAGAGTTGTCGATAACTACACCTTAGGGAAGAGGAGAAAAGCTCAAGGGCATAGTTTCTGTTAAAGACCAAAATATCAAACTGTTTAAGAGAGGGAACATTTAACATTCTGTCTGGCCCTGTCTTAGCATGTTTAGAACAATCCTAAATATAACGAGTCTTCATATATGAAAAATGATTCTAAACCAGACGCTGACAGGCTTCTGCGGGAGTTGTATTGACTGTGGTGCAGAGAAGCTATTACTCTCGCTATTTGCTAGAAAATTCCATCTATACCCCCCTGGCTGGTTTCCCACAAGCAAATCATATCGAGCTCAGATGCACACTTCACATTCCTTTTGATAAATGTTCTTTTACTTTGTCCCCATGCTATAAACACCAAAAATATCTTTACGTTCATAATTTTTGTAGTTTGCTTGAGGTATTAGTTTTAAGATGGAAAATAGCAGCAGCCTGATTCTTTTATCTTTCGCGCCAGCTGTTGGGATGAAGGGGATTAAAAGAAAGCTCTGTAAATCTATACTGTGCATTACTCGTTTTGAGTACAGTATATGTCTTTCTAAATAACGTTCTTCTTTCTCTCCCTATTTTAGTTGTCGGATAAACTGAATGATTGTGTTTCTGCTTGTATGTGTCCGGAGGATTTGAGAGGAAATCTCCTTACTAACATTTAAGTTCTGAAGATACTCTGATTTGAAAACTAATTCCTCCTGATGGCCACTGGGGAGAAAGATGAGTTGAACTGATAGTTTGCTGAAAATCTGATTTGCTCTCAGTTGGAAATGGATATCTAAATGAGGGTCTAACCTTAAATTACAGATCACAGCAATGATGAAAAGTAAAAGTACTTCTGTGAATTATACTATTTTGAGACGTATTTCCTTCAGGTTCAGGTATTGGCAAATGTGCTACAGACATATTAGGGTTCCATATTTATTCAGCCTCAGGGCATAGTTAAGATGTTGCTGTCATTGCCAAAGAAAATCTTCTGGGACACAAAGAAATGACATCCCGTGGAGTGTATTCTTTATTCTTTTCTGTTGTCAGCAGCGGATCTTGATTTCTCTCACCAAGAAAAGTTTGCAATCGCCATTTACCAGCAATCTGTCTGTTAGCACTGATTGCCATTAAATTGACAGTTGCAGTCAAAAGACCGCAAGGGCAGCTGATGCGTGAAATGAAAAATGTCATGCTGGTAAAATTGGTCCTGTTCCTCTGAATTTACGCCCAAGGCAGATTGTCAAAGCAGAGAAACAGCTTTGTTGAGACTGGTATCCAAAGTACAATTGCTGTTGCATTTCTCAGCACTACCATCCTTTGCCTTGATCAATTTGACATTTTTTAAAATAATGCTCAGGGGGAAAAATATTTGAATTGGAAAAGGTGAATTCCCCTCTCCCCACCACCTTAACATAATTGATATGCATTTTCAATTTTCCATTTAAACCTCATTATTTTATGCTTTATGTTTGTCAAGCTTAGACCTCTCAACCAACCCTTCAGAGTTAACAATAAATGAGTGGGATTCATTGTCATTCCATAATCAAAACTCAGGTTTATTTTAATGAGATTTAAAGGGAAATGAAAAGGTATTTGAAAAGGAAATTTGAGGGGCTGTGGGCTAAGAGCAAGGTTGCGGCAAGGTTTCAAGGAGTCGGCACTGGCACGATGGGCCGAATGGCCTCCTTCTGTGCTGTATGATTCTATGAAATATCAAAATCTCTTGTTAGATGAGAATTTAAGAGTTAAGACATTGAACATTGTCCGTATTTCTGGCCATGAGACATTTATTTTTTGATAATTATATTTGACTTTGCCTCAGCATACAATCTACAGTATTTCTGACCTATTTCTGTGTGTATCCGTCTTACTACTCTTCAACTCAGTCTGCCTCACTTTTTACCGTGACGCCCTTTAGATTCCACCGTCCAAATTTGGCACAGATTATTGTGAACAATGTGTTGCACTGCTCCAAAAATACAAAGTTGATGAAATGTGTATGGGAAATGATAAAACCTCAGTAATCTGCCAGAGAACAGTCAATTCAGAGGAAGTTGTATAACGTTCATGTCTGCGTAAATTGGTTTGTGTACATAGTCTGTTCATGACATAATAGTCCCCCACAAGTGCTGAATTTCAAGTCAACATCATAGTTAATGTGTTTGCAAATCAAGAATGATGAGAACTGTCTGTAGCTACATTGAAGAGACCCACAGTAAATTATTTCTCATTAAATATAAATACACTCTCGCTTGGATGAAACATTTAAAATGTCCCTGTTCTTTTTAAAAATTGTTGTAAACAGAATGACCCCAATCTCAGGAAACGCCATCATGTTTTTCGGCATTTCAATATTGAAGAATTTGACATTCTAAATATTGAATAAAATGACAACCAATGTCTTGCTTCCACCGACAACTTTCATGCCTTTTTGTGGCATTAAATGTTATCCTAACTTGCCTTTTACAGGCATTTGACTGCAAATATTTTTATTTTCTTCTACGCTGTTTCTTCTTGCTTTTCATTTACTTTTTGATTTCTCTATCTAACTATCTAAACCTTGCTTTCAGATTTACACAATGTGAAAATGTTCAGAAAAGAACTATCTTATGAAAAGTACAATAGTTTTGTGATTGTCCCTAGTGAAAAGCAAGAGAGATAGTTTAGAGAAACTGGCATAACTCATCAAAATAGCACTGTGAAAATATCTTCCAGGTGAATTTAGCTTGGAGCAAATATGACCTAATGCTAAATATAGACCTATAATAAGGAGTCTTAATGGGAGCTGCAAAGAAATGGGAAAATGTATGAAAATCTAATTAGGTATTTTCTGCGCATTGTTTTGCTATCTGGCTCAACTGTGAGCGTCTCGCTGTCAAATAACTTGCCACCAATTGTTCTCTAGTTATTGAGATAGAATAACCAGTTGGGAACTTATCTTTTTAAGGCAGCTGATTGTCTGACACATGAGGAAACCCATAACTATGTTTATGAGTATCCTAACCAGACAGAGTTCCACCTGTGTCACCTACGCATGGAATGCATATTCTCTCCATGAGGGAGGCAACCTGCTTACCTAATTCAGGAAATTATTAGGCACATGTTGGCAAGAGCCAAAATTTGAAGATCGCAGAGTATGCTATGGTATTGCTGCAGTCTAACCAGCTAAAACAGTACAGATTGCCATTGAGAGCACTGTCTGGCAGATTCCTGCTGCTTGTTTAGCTAGGACCACCCTACTTGTTGGGGTTTTTGCTTGCAGGAGCTGTGTGAAGAATTCTGGCCTCCAGGAAAGCTCTGTCCCTCCAAGTCCTGTTGATGAGCCAGGATGGCTGATTTTTCATTATCTGTACCCTGGAGTACAATGGCTCAGAAATAGGATACTGAGACTACCACAGAGGGTTGACTCTAGTCTGATGTTTCATTTCCAAGCACATCACTTTGGAGCCAACTCAACTGCCAAGGAGACCCAGTGTACCTCCCTCCATACATACCTCCCCAGGGAAGTTACCAGAAGGCTGCCAGCACCTATCGAATTACCTCAGCTCAGCATGAGTCACGACTTTAGGAAAAGTGGAGCAAGGGTAGAAATTTGGAACAAAACCTCAAATCATGGAAATGTCATCGTAAGATGCAGAAAAGCAATTTCTCTGGGGGTTAGGGGCCCACTGAATTTCATATCAGTTAATTAAAATTATTACAGATTGCATATCTTGCAGATTGTGGCATATTTTTTTGAATGTGCCAATATTATACCAATGCATGAATGTGCTCCATGCCAGAATATCTTTTGAAGAATGGATAGTTAACTGTTCCTCTTCCCATTTTCTGCAATGCATGTTTATCACGGTTGCAGCTGAATAAACTGAAGTCTCCAGAGTATCTAGAACCATATCCTGTGACCGTGCATTATTTTTCAGATGATTGCGTTGATGGATTACTTTTGTTGGATGTGTTATCGTGTTTCATCACCGGTAGAAAACAAATAATTTGGCCAAGCCATCAAGTGTTTGTTTAAACACCTGCTTCTCCTCATGTGTCCTTTTTTTTACCTTTTCATATCTAGCATCAATAGGATAAGTAACTTGCAATCACCACCAGGTTGTTTACGAGCACTGCCGTGTTCAAGGTCCTTAGGTTAAGTGTGGTAAGTTGTTCCTCAGTATGTCATTGTGTCAGAAAGCAGATCAGGTGACTGAACTACACTCCAGTTCACAGATTCTGTTGGCACTTTCACCAACACGACCAGGTTCATTGACTAGTTTTGCAGTCGCTCTTGTTTTGGGAAAGTCTTTAACAGTGGTTAATAATAATAATAATCCTTGCATTTGATATAGTGCCTTATCACATCATCGAGATGTTTCAAAGCGCTTCACAGGATATACTGTCAATGTACATAATCAATATAATCTTAAATATTCCTATTGTGCCGTTTCGGAAGATTTGGGCATAATACCCTGGCCGGAAGTGCAGACCAGCCATTTTGTGACCCTTGTCTATTTTTATACAGTGGGATGGACGTAATAGAGACCCAATCTGTTTCTTTCCGTTTGTTTATTTGATATATTTATGTTCTTTCCTGTCTCGTGCTGTGTGGGAGCTAACAACTGTAGACGCTAAGTAAGTTGCATTCACTAGCAATCATTCTTACAGTGAGTGGCGTGAAACAAGAGGCAACCTGTCAAAGCTAATGAGGGCTGACGCAACACAACCTTCTATTACATTTGTGCACACTTCACTGAGTGGGCTGGTTTTCCCACATCTCAACATACATTAAGGTTGATCATTGTTCCAACTGGTCAATTGGCTGGTATTGCTATTAGGGATCTGGATCGCTTGTCTTCTTTTCTTCTTACATGGTGAATCTTGTAAGGAAGCCTATGCTCTTGACTGCTAATCAGTAGTTCATTGATTCTGTTGAGAATTACACCACGTGAACATAGGAACATGGGTCATGGTAATTCTTTAAGCCAAATTTCCCTGCCTTCTTCATGACCTTTAATATCCTTATTTCCCAAATATCAAGAATCTGATTGGATAGTTAGCAAATGAAATGTAATCGGCATTCCTGTCAGCTCACCTCAAATCGGTTTTGTCAGCTTTGGGCTCAGCTACTGGAAAATGTGCCACGTAGAAGAGCTACATTCATAGCTGAGGGGGTTGGGGAGAATTGTCTGATTTAAATCCCATCTCCTGAACTATCTTATTAGAGTGGAATTGACAGTGGCTGTGGAAAACTCCATGCCCTAGCCTGTCTGCTGCTGCTGGAGAATGCACTGCATTCTTTTATTTTACTCCCCCCACCCCCCCCCACCCCCTTTCTTGGACTGTGCAATTGGGGAGACAAGTGTGTGTATCTGTCTGTCTGTGTGTGTGTGAATCAAATCAGAGGAAAAAAAACTCCAGAAACAGCCTGACAATTCAAAAAGCTGATCTGTCAGATTGATAAGGAAACCAGTTTGGGTTTGGGATTTTTTGTTTTATATATAGGAATATCAGGTTTACATGTAATTTAAGTTATCTAGTTAATTGCCCACAATGTGTGAAGTGTCTGATAGCTAACCATTTTATAGCTCTTGTTATATACTTTATAGTTCTTGTTGAGTACAGTAATTGAGAGAAGGTTGTGAGATAGAATAGATTGCTGATGAATCACGGGATGAAAAGGAAGCTTTAATTTAGGTGAATTTATTTTACATATTTAAATGTTAAGCCTTCTCCATCCTTTACTTTCTGAGTCATAGAAATTTATAGTGCAGAGGAGGCTCTGCACTGTCCATTCAATCCCCGCTTTATCACCATACCCCTTCAAGGCTTTTTTTTCAAATACCTGTCAACTCATGAAACCCATAATAGTCTCTGCTTCTACCATCTTGCTTGGTGGGGCATTTCACATCCCAACAATTCTACATTCTGTGAAAAAAATCCTCCTGAGATCTCCTTTTGCTTTTCTTATATCTATGTCCTCCAGTCACTGACTCCCAGTGGAAATTGCTTCTCCCAATTTATCTTGTCAAAACCCGTCATACATTTGAATTAGGACCTTTCCAACTACAGTCACTCCAAGGGATAAGGGTTCAGCAACGGAGTGGCATGTTAGGCATATGTATAAATACATAAATAAATAACAGCATGATGACATAGGTGATAGTGACAAGTTAAGCCGGGGTAAGATATCAGGAGTTTATTGTAGTAGAAAAAGAATACTTCATACCAACAGTATGGGTTTGATTCATATCCAGGTCCCAACATTTCAAACACAATATACAGTCAATTCACTTTACAGTATATTCTGTGAAGTGCTTTGAGATGTCTCGAAGATGTAATAATAAACTATTTCAAATGCAAGAATTATTCTTATTAACAGAGCCTCCTTCTCAGAAGGTAAAAGTTAGGGTTCCTAATAGTGGGAGATAGATAAAGAGTACTTTTAATCTGTTTTGGTCTCGTTTCCTAGTTAGTGATGTATTGTTAATTTTAGATGTTTAGATTAGATGCTTCATTGCTGGGATGATTTGTCGTTCCCAATCCTAATCTTACTCCTTAATTTTCTTGCTCCTTTCAACTCAGAACGCAGATGCCTCAGCCTTTGAAGTTTTGGGTAGAAAGTGTTTTGGCAGAGTTATAAAAATCTACAAAATATGGGTTTGTTTGACTGCTAAGGACTTCTAATAAAGATAAAATATGTTATAATGGAGATAAAATATACTTGGAACTTCATCAGAAGACTAGAAATTGTGTATGATGTATTTTGGTAGCTTGGATTAGAGATTAATTGGGGAATGAATGAAAGGAGATTCTGGTCTTTTTTACGATGTTACTTCTATGTAGTATGTAGATAGGAACAGGACTTAACCATTAACCTGTTTAGTCTGCTCCACAGTTTTGTTAGATCATAATTGATCTGCAACTTAATGCCAGTTCCCTGCCCTTTCACCACACTACCCCTTGATGCCCTTACCTACCAAATGTCACTTAGTATTACAAATACTTTCAATGTTCCTTGGAATCTTCAAACTTCTGAATAGTGAATTTCATGTTTCCACAGCCCTTTATGTGTTTTTTTTTCTAATTTCAATCCAGCTAGCTTTCTAATCTCTTTTCTTTTAGCTCTAATTTTAAGGTTACGTCCTCTTGTTCTGGATTCCCCTACCAGAGAAAAAAAAGTTTCTAACTACCTTGTTAAATCTCAATATATTTTGTTATCTGTGTCAGATCACCCCTCTCCTCAATTTTCATACTAACTGATAAAGTTGACTTTTATCTAACAGTTGACTTGAGTTTTATGCACAAAGGTAATACATTGATTTATTTGGTGAAATTGTATTGGAACATTAGAGCAAACTGCTCTCTGGAGTATATGACCTCCACAGTTCACTGCTTGCTCTTTCAGCAGTTGTGCTTGCTCTCAAAATGGCCTTGCAGCTATAAAAACCTGAAAATCTATCCATAGTTGCAAATGGCACTGAGGTTTATCCACCAATAGTTTTCTTTTAGTTTTTATTGTTCTGTAAAACCTTTATCGGGTGCTTATTTGTTCAATGTTCCAGGTGGTGCGAGCAGCTGATAGTCTATCCCAGAACGAATAAGCAGAACCAGAAGAAGAAACGCAAGGTGGAACCTACAACTGCTCAGGTATGTTCTGCAATCAGTTTTGCAACGTGTGCAATCAGTTTGGGAAATTTCAAAAAAAAAATGGCATCTATTCTTACCTGTTAATAGATAGCAAGACCATCTATAACAGGACACTGCATTGTCATGCTTCAGATAAGACTTTAAATTAAAGACCCATTTGCCTGTAACTAATATTAAAAAATTATTTGGAACACACTTTAAATTTAGCTTTGAATTTAGTTGTTTTAAAAATAACACCACCATCAACCATCCATGGGCTGTGGCTGAGTGTTTTCATTGGATGATATTTCTAAAACAAAATGCACTTCAGTCAAAATTTGGAAAATCTGAACTTTCTTTACTAACTCATTAAATATTTGTTGGCTAAAATGTGATTCTGCATCTTGCATGTGGGAGAATTATTTATGCATTTAAGTGTACTTGACGTTTCTTGCACATTGACCACTATTTCACATAAACATTCCTAGTTAGCTTTATCTGGACCCAGCCTTTGACTGGAGATAAACTGAACTGTATGTGACCGATGTTGCTTTATTTTGTATAAAAAGTCACATTCTTATAATTAGCATGGTAATCTCTAGGCTTTGATTGCCTTTGTGAAGAAATGATAGTTACTTGGAAGTGGATGTAATATTTTTTCCCTTTTCATGATATTTAGGTTTAACCTTGCATTAGATCCCTGGAGCCCACGTAATGGCTCTGCACTCCTTGAGGGGTTGTCATGCACTATTTATGGGAAGGGTAGTGCTGTCCCCTAGAGATACCTGGAAAGCACCAGTCAGGCAGTGACCACCACTTCAGGCTTTTAACACCACTTGCTGTGTAATATGAGGTTCCTGTGACCATCAACCAAGAGCTGTAGTATAAATTGGATATGAAATATGTTCAGATAAATCTAGATTGGTTACTGAAGGTGAAACAGAGCTAAGAGGGATGACTGTTGGTGCTACTCACTCAACTTATTAGGTTTTTCTTGTGATGCACAATTGCTGTGATGTAAAGTCGAAAAATGTTATGGGTAATTAGCTGTACGTGGAGAGCATTGCCTCTGACAGTAGCTGGAGGTCTACAGCCAATATCTTTAATCTTGGGTTTGAATAGCTATGTGTTTTCTTGCTTCTCTATACTGCATGCCTGTAAGTGGAGAGAAATGCACAGAACTAAATTGAGAGTGACTTGCTTTTCAAAGGACACATACAATCCCCAGGAGCCTAAATGTAGATCTGAATACGAATAGTATAAAGTAATCTTTTAGAAATCTGCTTTATTTAAAGTGAAAAGATTGTGTAATCGGAAATACTAAGCTACATCCAATAAGCCTGTCAAATAATATACATTGATACAAGTTAATTGAACTGTAATTTGTGCCTAACCCGTGGCAGTAAGCCAATAATAAGTATAGACTTGTTACTTATGTGACTAACGTAACAGGGTTCAGTCAATGAGCAATTGTTTAACAGTAGCAAGAAAATTCCTAGGAAAAATTGTTTGAATATGAAGTATTCGAGAGTAAAGAATAAATAGGTGAGATCAAGCTTCTCGTCGAGTCTGTCTTACGATCTGCCTTTTTTCATCATTTGTACAATCATTTTCTTCAAAATGAACAAATCACAAGTGATACTGCAGAAGCCACATGCTTAATGGTTTGTGGCTGACAGTTTATTAAGAAAGACAGGAGCTGCCTGTCTGACTATTGCTGTCTTGGATTTGAACTGACAAGATCATTATTTGGGGCCTTATATGCAAGGGCGATGCCAAAAAAATTAGGTATCCTCCAATTTATTACAGTGAGCTGAGTCAATAAGCTCGGACCTGAGCATTAAGACAAGCATTAAAAAGATAACCGATTTACACCTCATCAGGTCACTAATGACATCACCTCTTGTGCGCAGCACTTCTGTTCTTGTAAAGAATCGCTCCGCACTATGCCCACATTAAACCAGGACACAATCTAATGTGTTAGTAATATGTTAATATATTAGTTTGCCTCAGTTGCCAGCATGCTAGCCTCTGGGTCTAACCAGAATAGATTCAAGTCCCGTATCAAAGTTTGAATTAATTGCAGGATGACACCTCAGCACAGTTATGGGAAGTGCTGTATTGTCAGAGGTGCTACCCTTTGGATGAAATGCTAAACTAATATCCCATTCGTCTGTCCTTCAGCAGGACATTAAAAAACATCCATGGCACTATTCAAAAAGAGACATTTTTCCCAATATCCTGGCCAACAATCCTCATTCAACTCAAGGCTATTTGCAGGACTCTGCTGTGTGCAAAACGGATGCCAACAAAAATAGGCACTACATTTGACATTAATTACTATAAAGCACTTTGAGGAGCTGGTGAGATAAGGTGCTATAAAGAGGCAGGTTCTTTCCTTCTACTATAAAATATTAAAAAGGCTGAGTAACTTCAACAGAACCCGGAGATTAACATTACTTAATTTATCCTACACATACATCTTGTTCTGAAGAGCATCACTTCAACTAATTAATCAAATCACCAGAGTGCGAGAAAGTACACTGTGCCAAGAGATTGCTCTGCGTAGGCTCTGTACTGTTCATCTGAGGCACCTCCTCCCCCCCATCCCCACAACAGCCATTTGGCAGATGTCGCCTGTGCAGAATGCACTTTCATTTTACCTTGGGTCGGGTCCCAAGCAGGTAGTTAACATCAAACAAATTCATTCTTTTAAGACTACAAAGTAGCACGAGTTAAAGGCTGTTGTCCCCACCTTAAGCTACCTGCTTTATGATTGATTCTGCACCTCCTTGGCCAAATTTTTCTGGTCTGATGACTTTTAAACTATCCCAAACGATTGTAAGAGTGTACTCTACTTCTCTTGCAGAAATACATTCATTTATAGATGGGTGAACAAAAAAATCATAGGATCTTCCGATGTTTGAGTTCTAAATAGATATCTGAAATATAAAATTACAAGTTCCAGCATGCTCTGGGCGACTACAACGTCAATAGAAATCAAGGTCGCTGTTATGTGACAAAGCCTTGGTGCACAATTAGTGGTGCACACTTTCCAGTGTGTAGCAGATGTAGCTTTTAACTACTCGTAACAATAATGCCTACAAATTAATGTCATTTGGATGGTCACCTTAATTATTCATTAGCAGTGATGCAAAAACATCCCTATCATGAATTCATTTTGTACTGTATTACTATTTGTTGCGAAGAGGAAAATGTTTTGGAAAAATACTTTATTCTATAATTCGCTTCATTGGTTGGGATTTAGACCCTGAAGCTTATGACCCACAAAAAATCAAAAATGCCTTTCTGGCTTCATCAGGGCTTCAGAACACTGGCCGTCAGCTAAAGTGGCCAATTTCAGGGTCAGTGGAGTGCAGCGTTTTTGAACACTGTTTTAGGAGAATATAATTTTTGCAGGAGGTCAGTCAGTGTTCCTTTACAGGTGAGAGTGCATCTTTGTCCTTTCTGAAGAAAGCAAAAGGGAAGTGCTTTATTCCCATGCACTTGTCCCATTCCGTTAGATAGATTTCTGTCCATTCTGTAGATTGTTGGCATAGGAAGCCCTGAATATTAAAAATTAAGTTGGTTGTAACAATGCAACCCACGATATACCCATCCTGTAATCCATTCTACCAAATGACAACAAAATGACTTCATGTTGCTTTGACCATAGTGTTGAAAAGCCAACTTTTCACAATGTTGCTTAATTTTTTGTTAAAGCTAATTTTCTGTTAAAGTTAGTTATGGGCACGCTGTTTATCAAAAGGCAGGGATTATGCAAGGTGCTACAAAATTAAACAAATTTGAGCATATTCTGAAACCTGAATACAAGTTGAATGAGATGGGAGAGATTTTTTGGGGTGCTGTTGAAATCAAAATTAAAGGAGGGTTATGCGCTTCAAAACAATACCTTATTTAAAAAGCCAGAATGCTGGAAAACTCCATACTACCTAATGGTCAGGCTCCATGGATCTTGTAGCATGTAAGTATTGAAATTGCTGCAATAAAATATGTACATTTCCTGGGCTCTACGAAGGAGTCTTCAACATAAGGATATAGTTTAAAATGGTTTGTCTGATTTTTCAAAGATGTCTTGTGAAACCGAGAGAGAGGAAAGTATTTTTACTTGCAAGCGCTTAGCCTGACGCACATGTTCCCCTTTAAATCCTTTTTTTTCTGAGGGGCCTTTTTGAAACCTGGACTCCAATCAAAGGAGCAGATCTGTTCTAGATTTGTTCCTGCTTTTTGTTTTAATAACGTCAACATTTTTCGTCAGGATCAAAGGCACGTTTCTTCCATAAAACACTTTGTTGACTGCACTAAAAATAGATAGTATAATTATATTTATTATACCAAGAGACTGTGAAGTTATCAGAACCCTTGTGTGTGTTTTTTACCTGAACCCAGGAGCCTGGTCCAGCGAAAGTAGCAGTGACTGGTTCAGGGATTCCCGATGCAGAGAAGGTGCCAGATTCACGGTCCAGCCTGTGGCAAGAGGAGCTTCACGGCAGAGATGTGGAAGCAACTCAGAGTTGGCCTCTTCCTGATGCTAGCTCCCACGGAGGGTTGTTTTCTTCAAGAGAGGGTGAGTCGGTAGTTTGGTTCAACTCTCTTCTCTTTTCTCTTTTCTCCTTTGCATTTGTTCCTTGACCAACACTGATTTTCTGCATTTTTGCACATCACCCACCTCAGTCTCTATCTCGAGCCCAGTGTTGCCTAAAGTATCATTAATGCCATTATCTCCAAACTTGATTTTTCAAACTCTCTCCCATGATTTTAGAGTGAGTTGATTCTGACAAGCCTTAACCCTGAAACCTATGGGGTTTGTTTATTACAAGGGTATTTTCTTACAGCATTCAAGCATAGTATTTTAATATGTATTTGTGCTTCTCTTGGTACAGGTGAAATGCGTCCCCCTGATGTTGCTTCTGATCACAGTTCTGTTAATGGAGATGAGGTGGATAGAGGAAGGCTCCCATCGCTTGACCAGCAGAGGCAGGAGATGCGTGTCCTTTCCCCTACTGGTAGCTCTTCAAGCAGGCATGTTATGGAGCCTGGTGGGGTTCCTCGTTGCCCATCACCAGTCTATAGTGATCCCTTCCCCTCTGCTAGTAGCCTGCTGTCCAATGGATCACATATTAGCGGGTCCATGAGTTCACTGGACTCAGAAGCAAGTGGAAGCACAGTAACGAGCACAGACAGTCACTATGCTGAAGGTATGGCACATAGAGCCTCAACACTGGCTGACATTCCCCGAGCCAGAAGAATAAGCAATAGGGAGACTTATGAGGCTGAAGTTAAAAAGATGGAAAAGCGGACAAGAGCAAGAAGTCCAGGGAGAGATGAAGGCGAACGGAATTTTGGACAAGAAAGAAGGTACTATCAATTCCTTATTCCATTTTATATTGAATTTATTTTGAGAATAATCATATAAGGCCCCTTACTAACTGAATAGGAACTGAAAGCTAAGCTATTACAAGTTTGTGTGGCGTTTGGGCCAATTGGCCTGTTTCTGAGCTGTACCTTCTGTGAATCTAGGACCGTATTGGCAACGGCAGTTTTAACAGTACCAACTATAACCAACCCCAGCACTCTCTGGGGTCCCCAGAGCTAGTCTTGGCTCTTGCTAGTTGGCACCTATTACTTTCCTGAATTAGGTAAACTGGATGCACCCCTCCAGGGTTGTCATGTGCAAGTATAATGCATATCTGGAACTCTGTGGGGTTTGCATAATCTTAATCGCAGCTATGAGTTATTGCTTGTCACACCCAGCTGACCCAAAAAAACAATATAATGATTCACCAGTTTACTGTGAGCCCAATTTAAAACGCCTGGGAATATGCCAAATACAATAGTGCAATTTGAAAAGCTTGTCTTATTGTCTTTTGTTAAAAGTCGTTTCTTAACCACGTTTGTCTGCTTCTGTCCCATCGTATTGGAAGCAGTGTGTGGTCTTCTTGTCTTGTGATAGCAGTGCTGTTCTGTCATTGAGCCAGAACGTAATGGTTGTATAAAGTGTGATTTCCCCATCTAGTGGTTCTCCTGAGAACTGGTGCAACTCTGTCTGTTATACGGAGGGAATTTGATGTTGTCCATCTCTGTATGTACATGAGCTGGAAGCCGAGAAAATGTGAAGGCAATTCCTTTTATCATAATGCTGCACTATGCCAGAAAGTAAATTGCTTTTTTACTTTTCAAATTTTAAAAATAATCAAATCCATTCTTCCACCACTTGCTTTACAGAGGTACTGAATATCAAGTACAGAATTTGACATATAATTGAGTCCGAATTGAGTACTAACTGGCAATGCCCTGTGATAATATACTTTCCTTCGTGTGATAGTGTTAATGTTACTCAAACTCTCCGCCACTCTATCTACAGGAGGGCAAAATAAATACAATTGGAAAGTTAGTACCTGATTTGCAATTTTACTTGTTGGCCATGCTTTAGTTTGGTTCAAGGTACAATATAGGGCAGAGCTACGGAGTTTGGTGAGTTGGGTGTAGAAGTAATAGAGTCTGAAGGTATGGATGAGGGTGTCCGGAGTATGGGGGAAAGAGGTAATGGCAAACATGGATGAAGTTGCATTGAATTAGTTTAAACAAAGCAGCCTTAATCCCTTTCATTCTCGTCACATATGTTCGTTCCTTTATATCCTTCTCGGTATGCTTACATGTCAGAATGTGCAAATTACTTTTCTGTAATTTGCATATCCCAGATCAGACAATTATTTGAGTAAACAGATTGTACTTTCATTTATTACCATAAAGGTTCCATTAGCTTATCTACTTTTTATTTTACTCTTGGTACCATGTCAGTTGTTTGAAGGGGTGGGTGGGGGGAGATGGAAGAAGGAAGAAGAGAACTATGGTACAATTTACATGAAGAAATTGAGTAATAACTGGATTAGACACCCCGAAATTGATATGAACAGTGTCTTGTTCTTTTGTGGCTGCTTTGCTTGGATCTAAATCAAATTCTTGACCAAATGCATATTTGCCTCTGCCCATCAGCTGAAAATCTGGAAAATCAAAGCTTTACAGATAATTTATCTGCTTTTACTACCCATTTAATAAACGTTGTACCCAATCCCTGTAGTACAATTCTTAAATCCCTGTTTGTTTGTTCAAAATGCCTTGAAGTTTATCATATATCAAAGTTTTTCAAATAATTAACTCAAAGATTTGAACTCAAACCTTGGAGGCCAACAAAAAGGGAAGTTGTCTTATTTAAACAAATCTGGGTCTTTTTTTTTCTAATAGGAAATGGCTTATTTTGAATTATAGAGCAAGTACGGCGTTGATGTTGTCTGACGATGTTGCATAGAAGCAACATTATGCAATATTGCCCTTTCACCTTTCCAGAACGGTCGTGGTTTTTGATTTTGACCTTTTAGGGTAATAACAGTAGATTGGGAATTTTCCTTAAAAGGCTAGGCTGTGAATGACTAGTTTTGCTTCAGCAATGGAGTTACCAGATTTGCCTCAGTAGGTAGTTCATGTAAGTTTTGGATTGGATGCTGTTTGGCACTGTGTATCAGACACTTTCCATCTGTTGTTTTTGGTACTTAAAGAAAAAAATTGCTGAGCGTTCAAAACTCACAAATGTAGACTTCATTTTTCTTTTCTGCTTTCTGTAAAACTTTAGAAGCTGTTCATTTTCAGGTGGAAAGCCTTCTTCAGCTTAATAGCTTGGAGCTGGAGGGGTGTGGGGACAAAGAGCGAGACATTGTCATTGCTATTGTGAACCAAGTCTTTATTGTAGGATATGGATTTTTTAAAGTGAATTATCCAATCTAAAAAGTCATTTATTCAAACTGTGATGATTAGCAGCAGTTAGAAAGTATATTATTATGGTCTTGGAATTGTAATTGTGTTTGTTCCTAAGCTATAATATTAATCATACTGCATTTTTTTAAAAAAGGAATTGTTTCAGCTATTTTAAAAATGTTTCATATTTTTATGTTGCAATAAAGAATTTAATCTGGCAAATCCAGATGGCACAGGAACAGAATGCTGCGAAATCTGGTTTAACTCGCCAAATTTGCTTTAACAGCAAATCTCTGCTGGATTTTTATTCATTAAAAAGGTGAAATATTCAAAGATGGTCCTGGAATTAGATAAACCAAATCATTTTAAAATGATATTCTGGAACTACGAGCAAATTATATTGTTTAATGATAGGATCAAATAATAATAATATGGGCTGAAGATCCTTCATCCAAAGGATATACTGTAAAGTGTTGTGACTGTGCTTTGTGGGAAAATATTATCAAAAATGAAACTTACAAGGTAGTCCTATGCTAAATTCAGTAGGTGACGGTTATAATAACTCATTTCTCTGAGGTGACTGTTGTTTACCTTCGCCTACATGAAAATATTTTTAAGAGTATTAATAGCACAGCATTAAAAACAATTTTTTAAAAGGAAGGTTATAACCTTTTTTAACTGAGACTGCATTGGAATGCATACATTCTTCCAAAACGTTTTAATCGACAGCAAATGGAATTTTAACATCTTTCTGCCAGGCCACTTAGCGTATCTTTGCCATAAATGGCTTCAAAATCACCTTGCCCTGTGTTCTGCCAACATTCCTTTAACAGTGGGTGTAATACTGCTGCAATGATTTCATTGTAACAGAAACGAGAGCTTGTGTGCAGTAATTTGCTGTATAATGTTGTCATCCTGTTTCTCCCAATTCCTTGGCCAGAGTCACTGTAGGAAACGTCGGAGCTACATTGAGAGTGCTTGTAGTTCAACGGGGCTCCTTATCTTGGCTTCTTTTTGACTTAACTTAATCATGAAGAATTCTACTTGTTCATAACTGATTATAGTACAGTTTGTGTGGGTACTTTTGAAGTAGTCGATTAGACTTCTGTCTGTCGGGATGGATGTTGAAAATTCCGAGACCGTATAAATCCGCTGAGGTTAATCCAAAAGAGAATAAAGTTGCTCCCAGTGTCCTGGCTGATAATATGATAACCAGATAAATGGATTGTTTGCGTACAGAAACTTGCTAAATTCAGGACTCCCAATTCCCTGCTCTTTCCCTGTACCCTTTAATATTATTTATCTGCATAGGTTTGGCCAATTCTTTTTAAAATGCCCCCAATGGCAACACAAAGCTTGCCAGACAGTGGTTTCAGTTCTCTCTGAAATTAGGTAAGCAAAGTGGGGACGCACCTTGCGTACCCTGAGATTCCAATCCAGCGACAGGGTCTCCCTTTTTCAAGTGTAAGTGGCACGCATACGTGGAACTTTGCACACTCTTATCATTTTCATTGCTAAACCTATAATATTTTAGCTACAGATGAAAGCCTCACTGAAGGTTGTAGAGTGCAAGTCTTATCCCTGTGTATAAATCCCTGTGTGTGTGGGGGGGGGGGGGGGTGGGGGGTGGATGGAGGAGGAGTACTCCTGTGGCTTTAAGGTGACTGAATGAATTGCCCTTCTATTTTAGTAGCATCCTGTTTATGTTTGGTTATGTGCAAGTGCCAGTTTTTAGTGGAGTGACTCAAGCTGGGAAAACATCATGGAAATGGGAGCGATTCCACAATGAGGGGTCGCGCTGGCAAGCACAAGGGATGCGGTTTTGCCCCAAGGTCACTGTTTTCCCTTGGAATCGGGAAAGGCATGTTGGAGAAAAATGTTCTGGTGCGGGATACGTTCATTAGATTTGGAACTGAAACCGGTTGTTAACTGCACATAATTAATAAATTTAAAGCTGTAGTATTCCACAATGGTTTGCGCTATTTTTAAAAATAAATTAATAATAATAATAATAATTACCCTGAATTTGGAAATTCAGTGGCCATTTCAGTTAAGAGATGCTCTGCAGAGTTTTCATTTCAGAGCTTTCTGTTGATCAACCGAGACCATGATCTTTCTGGCAGGGGTTAGTGATCCTATTTTCACACACGCGCACACACACACACACAACTCCTCACACAATGGAAAGAAATAAAACTTCAATTAATAGTTGGAGGATTTCCTTCTCCAGGTTGATTAATTTTGAAAGTGCTATTAGATTTTTTTTAAATTAAGCATGGGCACTAGTGTTTTGAGAAGCTGAATGTGACTAAACTGTGTGACTAAATTTCAGCTTGAAATTTATTTCCTTCTACATCAAGACATTCAGCAAAACATTTAACTCGAGATTCCAAGTCTGAGATTGAGACGGTGCCTGTTCTATTATAAAGGGGTATTGGATGCTGTAATCATAGTATAAAATGTTACATGCCAATGTAGATACTATTCTTACATTTTTCTGAAGTTTTGCTCTTCCTGCTTTTAAAACAGATATTCTATTTATTGGTGACCTTTCTAAACTCTCTAAGTAAAGGTCACCAGAGACCAATGGAGAATTTACTATATGAGATGGAGATCTAATATTTTAGTTATAGATGAAAGCCTCACTGAATGTTGTAAAGTGCAAGTCTTATCCAATTGAGCAGACAAAATAAATCCTTCACTGTAAAATATATTTTAGATGTTCTGATTGCTATGAGTTTTGAAACCTAACATGAATTAAATTCAAATCGTTCTATTTAAAATCGATGGACATTATTTTTGACCTCTAAAAATTTATGTACATTTAGTTTTATATATTTTGCACAAAGGGTGATGATGCATGTGGATTGTAATTCAAAAAAATGTAAATAGTAATCCTTGCATTTGTTACGTTTTCGAGACACCTCAAAGTGCTTCACAGAATATACTGTAAAGTGAATTGATTGTATATATTGTCAGCGAAACTCAGCAGCCAATTTCGCACAGCAGTGCCCCACAAACAGTCGTGGATCGAGTGACCACTTTTTTTTATTCTTTTAAGGGATTATTACCCCCAGAAAAGCAATCCGCCAATCGACTTAACAACCGGGTTCCTATTTTGCTGCGATGTAAACAGAGGCTTGTGGAGTAGGGAAACTTGCCTAAGGTTTTGTCCTGCCCGTGAATCGAACCCAGGTCCTCTCGCTTACGATGTATGAGAAAATGCTTGGAATGTATGAGAAAAGTTTTTCCTCACACGTCTTGGGAGAGATTGCCTTCCTGAGCTAACCACTTAGAATCCGATTTCTCATAGAAAGGGAACCTAGTTCTCCCAATCTGGTAAACTGAAACAGTGCACCATTGGACTTGCTTTCAGTCCATCCCACACCACCCATGTCACACTCTTCTGAAATAGAAATGCTGCTCATGTGTGAATTACAGTACATTTTAGATATGGCATCAATACTTCAACAGAAGGGCATGTTGCTGTTTATTTAATTAACCCTCTGCAATAGGATTCTTTGCTCCAAATCTATAGAGGAACAAGCTGAACGTTTATTTTTTACATGAAAAAAAAAGGAAATTCAGGCAGTTTGTCTGCTTTCTCTGGTAACATCTTTCAATATATGCACAACAGGTGACATGAACAATCAGTAGGCAGACAGTTAAATAAAATGGCTAAGAAATCTAAAATCTGTTTTCAAATCTGTAATGAGATCTGTTTATTTAATGGCAGCCATTTCAGGTTCACCAACCTAATTTAAACAGCGACCCATTTGTGCTGAAATTGATGATCCATGTTGGATTATGGTTCTACAGGTGATAGCATTCCCTGCATATCTTATCCAGCAGGGGACTCCTGTTATAGCGCCCTTCAATAGACCACTGCCTCGCTTATAGTGTGGGTTTATTGTAGACCCGTGTTAACCAGAAGTACAATACACTTGGCTTCTGGTGCAAACTTCCCTTGCTTTTTTTTAAGAAAGCCCATCTCGGGGCCATCAGGTCACTGCTGACTTCACTTCCTGCATATGCGTGCTATCAAGGAATGGCATACAACCTGCAGGAAGTGATGTCACCAGTGACCTGACTGCCTGGAAGTTGGCGACTTTTTTTGCGCCTTGAATTTATTGCAGTTCCTGAGACCCACCTGACTGCAATAAATTCAAGTTTACTCACTGCAGTAATAAAACTTTTTCCCTAAAGTTATTCTTTATGTTGTGAGCCTAAACACTAAATGATGGCAGGCTGATTGACAGCAAAGGACATTAGCCAAGTCTGATCATGTACTACCCAGACGCCCACACATGAACAAGCTGATCAAGCTATCCACCTTGGGGGTGAGCAAGCTGCAATGGCTCCAGGGTGATTTGTGGAACAGATTGTGGGACTTTTATGTTTTGGATGGCTCAGGATCACACTGTAGAGGTTTTACCCTTTGAGCCATTAGGAGTGGCATCGTAAGAGTTTATTTGTTAAATAAAAGTCAACAGGCGGTCATTTACCGAATGCTTAAATTTAGTGAGTTATTTTTGTCTGTATTTACGTCATACATAATTGTTATTTTTAGCAATCAGTGTGTGAGAGAACTTGGTCTTCTATCGAACTATGAGAGTGAAATTCCAGATTATACACGGTTTATGCTTTATTCTGTACAGAAATACAAATTTGCATTGTGTGTTTTACCTTGGCATTTCTACTGCAGGTTACATTTATGGAATGTTTTTATACAGTGCAGCTTTTCATTAAAATTGCTTTTTCATTTAGTCGGCGCTCAACTGTAATAGAGAAACTTGAAGCTCTGGAGCTGGAGAATGCTGATCGAATGGAGACTGATCAGCTTGCAGGAGAAGCAGTGCCCAGTGAGTCACGTCAAGGGAGAAGTGAAACGAGACGTTTCCAACGGAGAGAGGCAAGTCGTGCAATAAAACTTGTTTCTTGCTCGGAAATAAATACTTCAAAATCTGAACTATTCTGGGTTTTAAAATCCTGCTCAGTAAGTGCTTTGAAGACTGGCAAGCTTCTGCGTAAGCTTAAGATCGCCACTGAAAGTATTTTTTAATGAGTCAATTGAATCAATGGTGTTTTTTGGTTTATAAAAAAATATCCTGGGTGAGAGGAAGAATTTCAATTAAAATTAGTTAAATTTAATCCTGTCATAATTTTTCTAGGGATTGCATGTCCAGTGTGCGCCCCACCCCACTATCCAGTCCTTGTAGCAAAAGTCACCTCACCTCATGTACGGGAGGGATTCCTTCCTTTGGGAAACTACTAGGATGAAAAGCTCACTTAGATCAGTCTCCTGTTTCTAACTCTCATTGGAACATCTGGATCTTATGGACAAAATGTTTAACCTGCTCTCTCATTGAAAATTACAAACTGTTTAGATTGAGTGGGACATCCAACCGATTAGAGTAGGGGAAGCTCACGCCATTTATAGGTGTAGATTATAAAACTAGAGAGTACTGTCCCAAGATTGTTTCACCCTGCCCCCAAATGATCAGCGTATTGTTGGTTATGTGGAGAATGAAATGTTCTCAGTCAATCAGACCCCAGATAAAAACTAAACCCAAATCCCCAGACACTACTATCTTGTAACTTTGGCAATCAATCACAATTTCTAATTGAGACCATTATTCACCACAGAGTCCAGCTTTTTTTAATGTTACCCATTCTGTGCGAAAAGTCATAGAACTGAAGGGATTATTCATTATTAACACCCCCTCTTCCCCTCCATGATCCAAAGCCACATGGCAGTTATTATGGTGCCAAAAGCTTGGAAAACGATTTCAACTGAAAATATTTTGCTGAAAATAGTCTTGCCAAGGTCAAAGTCTTAATGTTTAATGCGGTCTAAATAGCTAGTCTTGATCACAAAACATCAAATGAACAGACCCCTGTTTCCTACCCTGGAGTTTGATGCATCTGCACTTAATTAGCATGCTCTTATTTTCTCCCTCAATTAAATGCTTTCTCATGAGTCACTTTGTTTCAATAATTGAAGAGTACTAAATATGTGGATATTTAATTTCTTAACTCTTTGAAGACACTGGGAACATTGACTCAAAAAAAACTTTGCATAGCAGTTGGGTTTATTCGGGTATCATCTTGAGAAATATTGCTGTAAGGGAAGAGTATTGTACGTTGAAAGTACTTTCTTCCCCCTTCTTTCCCTTCCCACACCCACCATAATTTAGCTATCCTCATGACTGTCAATGAATGTTTGTCAGAGTTTGGACCAACTAGCATTCTTTTTAGGCCGAGAAGAAAGGGATTTTGAATTTAGTATTGGCTGAATTATTGTTGTGTACACAGCTGACACTGAATTTTAAAATTCATTTGGTTCCTGTCATAAAGTATTTTTCTCTCAAGACTTCCACCTAACCAGGGAGTTTATTACTGCACTTTCCAGGAATTTCCTTATTAACACACCAGAGGTGGTGATCTTTGCTATCCTTATTAAGCAGCAAAGTCATGCAGTTAGCTTAGCAAATGCACTACAGGAAACTTGATTTAAAGAGCCGAGTTTATTGGTTTATTCTTGCTCTGTTGAATACAGCACTCACTCCCTGAGAATGAGGAATGTATTTCGCTTTCCTCCAGATAATTGTGGCTGCAACTAAAAATAATTTACACTTAATCTCTTAGTAAATTCGGAGTAGTTCTAGCTGAAGCTAAGACTGAAAGGTCAGCAGTCAAAATGTAACTGTTATTAAGCCTTTCAAATGATTCAGCTGTTCAATGTGGCTGTTCCGCATGCAGCACTACATTTTTTTATAAATTGGATTTAACCTTAACTGCGCCTTGGGACGTCCCCCCAATGTGAAAGGTGCATCCAAATGTAATTTATTGTTGTTTTTGTATAGGAAATGAGAAAGGAAGCTACCCGAGAGAGAGATTTTCATTCCTCTTCTATACCTCCTCTTCGGCGAGCGAAGTCCCTTGATAGGCGAACGACTGAATCTATAATGACGGTAAGTTGATTAATGACATTAATATTCGCCTACAAATACAGTCAATACACTTGTGATAAAAATCCTATGAAGCATTTTTGAGATGTTTTGACGTGTAAGACACTTTCACATATTGCAGCTGGTGGAGGAGAAGCAAATTTGGGTGTCTGTATGCCGTTTATAATAAGCACATTATAAACTCAGAGGTTTGAGTAATTATTTGCAATGATTGATAGTAACTCTGCAGAGAGTTAACGTTTTAGTTCTATTCTAATACCTATTAAATATCTATAAAGTTAAATGTAATTCTATTCTGGCCAACAAAAATCCTCAAATAAAATTGGTCCCTCACTCCATGGTTGTTTGTGGAATGTCGCTGTGCACATATTGGCTGCTGCGTTTGGCGGACAAAATACAACAACTTAAATTGATAGAGGAGGGCATTGGAATAATCAAGGCAGGAGGTGACAAAAGCATGGACAAGCGTTTCGTCTGCATTAGGTGTGAGGTAGGCAATGTGACGGAGGTGGAAGAAAGCTGCTCTGGTCAGGCATCGGATGTAGGGTAGGAATGACAGTTCAGAAGCGAGCCTAGGTTACGTAAAGGTTTGGTAAGCCTTAGGGACAGACCGGGGAGGTTGAAGAGTGAAGTCATTGACGGGAGCCAATGTGAATGGCTTCCGTCTTGTTGACGTTCAGCTTGTTTGTCAGACATCAGAGCCTGGAGGTTTGCTCTAATCCAGACCTTGATGTCTCACAAACAAGCTGACAGAACATCAGTGACCCTGAAGTTGCAGCTGGAGGAGGAGAAGTAAATTTGGTTACCTGTGGATGAAATCGCCAAAAGGGGGCATGTAAATGAGGAAAAGGGGACCAAGAATGGAGCCTTGAGGTACCCCTCAGGTGACCGGGCGGGATGAAAAAACGTTTGCTGTGACGAAGTGATGGCAGTCTGACCGCGATAAGGGAGGAGAGGCGATGGAACCCTTTAAATATCCAATCTATTATAACATTGTGAGCTGGGTAAATCAATGTTACTGTGAGTCTTTAATAATTATAATAATAATCTTTGCATTTGCTATAATAATTATATGCTGTCATTTATAATTTAGATGCTATTTCCAGTTCGTATCAGAACCAGTTGCTATAGGTTACTGGTAAAAGGCTCCCATCTGCTCTGAATAGAAATATTTGAGTGTAGGCAGGATCCTTTTTGAAAGCTTTGTACAGAGGCACCTGGGGCAGGAAATTTTTTTTTTAAATTGTAATGAAACATTCACTGTATTGGCATATAGTTTTTGTGGGAATTTTAACTCTAATTTCACCCACAGATATACAGTCAATTCACTTTACAATATATTCTGTGAAGCGCTTTTGAGACGTAATGAGGGGCTATATCAAATACAAGGATTATTATTATTTTATTATAATTGTGACAGATTTGTGAAGAACTAAAACTAAATATTAAAATTGAGGGTTTCACGTGTACTGATTACTTTGAAGTGAGAATCCCGAGGCCGTGGTACGAATGTTGTGGAGTTTATATTTTTAAAAAATTTGCAGAAATTACATGTGCAGACTAATCTGGCTGAGAAAGCAAGTTTTACTATTTTTGGATAATGTATACTGTCAATGGAATGTCCCAAAAATCATCTGCAAACTATTTCTTGATATATTTCCAGGAATTGTGTCTTTAATAAACTTGAATGCACACTTCAAAATGAGACAATGACTCTCTAAAAGTCCTCAAACTTGAATACAGGTCACCTCATAAGATGAAGTGTCATTTCTTGTTAGAAAAAGATCCCCGAGTGATTTGAAAGGGAGAATGTTAATCTTTTTTGGGGGGTTGCAAATCTCCTGAGCTTTGCTGTTGCAGTTTATAAAGTTCTCTAAACCTCTTAATTAGGTTACCTTCTTGTAATAATTCCAAAGTGAATGATTCAGTATTTAATATTGTTTTCTCTGGGACTAATTCCATTTATATTGTGCTTTCTGCTTCACTTGTTCTGCATTTCTAACCTTCATGTTGCCGGATTTTCTACAAGGAAAAAGCAAATCCTTTTCCTTTCAATCTAAGCCACTTATCAGCTTCTGCAAATATGTTGTGCTTTCGTATCTTCAAAGCTTCTGTCATATTGTACATCAACCGCAGTTAGTCGTGATAGTCACACAGTCTGAATAACTCTCATTCTTCAGCAGTCTGCATCATCGTGCGGAATTAGGAAAGGGTTTTTAAACATCTTTTACCTAACAGAAATGGAGTCATTTTTCTTAAGAACATCAGATATTCTGGAGCAAGAAAAGGTTAATTGACTCATCAACACTTCCACAGCCACACAAAACCTACATTTTCCATTGTTTCACCCCAAAACTACAAGATATATTCATATCCCCATATTTCCATTTTTAATCTTTGCCCCTTTCACTCCAGACACTTTCACCCCCACTTTCTCTACTCCGTCTCTCCGCTTCAAAAGAGTTGCTGTGTGAATGATTCAGTGGTAGCATTCTCGCTTCTGAGTCAGAAGGGTGTGGGTTCAAGCCCCATGTCGGGACATTGGATCAAATAGTCTAAGCTGATACTCCACTGCAGTGCTGGGGTGTGTTACATTGTCGGAGGTGTCGTCCTTTGGTTGGAATTTTAACCCCCCTCCCCTTAGGAATCATTGTGTCCCATTGAGCACCCATTCATTGGAGTTTGCACATATCCATTATTGATATGATTGATATCATACAGAGGATACAGTTCAAGATCCTGGTCCTCCCGACGTGAAAGGCGCTATACAAATGTAATTTTGTTGTTGATAGGGAAGTAAGATTTAAATCCATGTTCTCTAGTTCTGCTCACAATCTGCTATTTTGCCTCATTTTAACCCTCGTTTTCTTGTTTCCCCCTTTCTCCTCCAATGATGCAAACTTTCATACTTTTTTTTCTAATGAAATGTTCAGGTCTTTTAATTTTGTACAGATTAGAGCTCTCAGTCTTGCAATAATCATTGTCCTTCTCTAAACACTCTTCAATGCACTGTTCAATGCACCAAAATGTTATTGAATGCTGCCTAGACTATTCTCAATGATGAAGCCAGTGATCAATACTAGTTTAGCATTTCATAAAACATGCTAGATTGGTTTTGTTTTCTCTATTTGAAGTTAGGTTATAATCCATGGATTGACTGCCTTCCTATGTTAGTCTGGACAACAGGTTGTAACCATAGAGGGCATTGCATTCAAGTCTGATCCTGTCTCTGTGAGCAGTTTACTGGATACTGATGAAAACGGGAATACCTTTGCCAGATAATTGCAAGTTTTCTTCAGACCAGATTGTGATTTTATTTCTCTGGTGATCTGGTTTTAGTGTTTGAATATCATTTGTTGGGTATTATATCTCATTCTTCATTTCTAAAATGAACAGAAAGAAATCTCCCCCTGAGTGGCACCTAGAAACTTAGTGTATGTTTATGGACTTTAAGCAAATTCAGTCTAATGGTTTCAGGAAGAAGGAAGGGAGAAGCATGGCATTTGCACTTTTTATGATATTTAAACTGTATAATTTCACTGTGAGTCAGTAACAGTGCCCTCACAGGGAATGGTGGCTTCATGGCGAGAAGAGAATGCTAAGCGAAGGGCAATGCAAACCATTATTGGCAGCTCACTCTGTAACTTCACAGATGCCAACTAAAAATACATTCTGCTGTGATGTTTACAATAAAGAGCCTACTCGACTGATGATTGCAAAGCTGTGGTTTGTATAGATTTAATTTCATCAAAGTCTGGAGAAAGTTATTTTCTCCCATAACTGTCTATTCAACATTCAGAGCTCTATATAGAGCTCTATAACATGCACTTTGTAACTGTGCTGAACAGTGCAACAGTTTTGCCCACAGTCTCCCCTTCCCTCTTTAAGGTGATGGATTTCACAACGGAATTTCTGTCTGATAATCTAGCACTATTTTTTAATTTCTGACCAGCATTTTTTTTAATCGAAAGATTTAGAGCATCTTTGTCATTTTGTTTCTATGTATGAGGAACAAATTCTTTTTCATGATGTTTTTCTGAAATTATTTTCATTCACGATAGTTAATCAGGATGATAATACATATTGTTACACTATAGAAAGGACAGACTATTCAGCAATTGTGGGCCAGTATTTATTATAATTGTTTTAAATCATGGCAACCTACGTCTCGTCTTCCTGATTGACCCCATAAAATATTAATGAAATAATAATAGTAATCCTTGCATTTGACATAGCGCTTTATCATGTTGTTGAGCTGCTTCAAAGCGCTTGACAGAATGTATACAATGGTAATTGAACAGTAAGAAAAATGGTTATGGTAATTGAATCTTCTTTAATGTATCCCAGATGTTTTAATATTTGTTTCAAATGAGATTTTCTGCATATGAATTGCAGCTGATGTAATATGCAACAATTTTAATTTCTTTAAAAATAGAAGCATCAAATTGTTTCATTGTCAAGCCTCAAAGGGATCTTCAGTTTCTGAATCTGGCATAGCAGCATTAAACTATTTGACCTACTTTTGTGTGTACCACAAGTCTATCTCACGAACGGTGCCCTACTTTCAAAGGTCCAAAATGTTTCAGGCATTAATTTTAATTTATCACTGTGTAATTTATTTTAGATCGTTTCCTTGAACTTTGAATTATTTGAACTCCAGAACTTTATCCTTTTCAGTTGTAAGGCTGTCTTGTGCAAGCTAGAGAGCCAGATGTTTGTCTGATACACTCCAACGCAAAGCAATTTTGTAAAACTGCACTGCAAGACAACTTTGTGAATAAATAATTACCCTTGGACATGATTTAGAAATACTATTGAAGGTAATTCATGTCCAGTGATCTAGCTCTGAGAGTTGACTGAGCTTTGAAACATTTGATTAGAATTATCTTCAGTCTTGAAACTGAGCCATTGAATAACAATATAATAATCTTTGCATTTGCTTTAGTGCTTTATCACGTTGTTGAGATGTCTCAAAAGCGCTTTACAGAATATATTTTAAAGTGGATTGACTGTGTATTTATTGGGCAAAGTGTTGCAGCCAATTTCGCACAGCAGTGTATTGATATTGATATACAGATCTATAAGTTTATATTGATATATAAGTCTATATTAGCTTTTATCTTTCCTGGTTTCCTTAACAAATTATGTTTTTTTATCTTTTAGCCAGATTTACTGAACTTCAAGAAAGGTTGGATGGTGAAACTTAATGGAATGGGCGAGGTAAGAATGATTGATTGCGCTTCCTGTAGACTTCATACCCTGCTCATTGGCATGTCGTTCTGAAAATGTTAGAAAACCACACGATTTTTCTCAACGTCATGTGACGTTGCATGTTTAAGGTATTGCATTAATTTACAGATGTATTATTGTCCACTCACTTAATGTGATTTGGGAAGAATGTTTCTCTCCCATTGCTCAAATAAATGACTATATATAGGTTCATATTCATCAGGTTGTCCTAAATTAGGTGGCATTTCATTGTAAATGAAGCTGATAATATACTTGTAAGAATATTGTTGCAGATTTGGTTATCTTAAAGACCTTTACATTTAATATAGCATCTTTCATATCGGGAGGATATTTCACAGCCATTTGGATGGTAAAGTGCAATGACAGCATTTTGTGGGCGATTTGACCTGAGTATGCAGTTGCTTCTCAATCGGAAGGAACAATTCTGGGATATCAAAATGCTCTTATTAGACAAACATAGGTAAAAGTTTACATTCTATACATGTCCTGAGACGTTGGAGGATCACCTCTGCTACCCCCACAAGCTGCAGACCATCCAGAACTCTGCAGCTCATGTCCTCTTCCATTGGTGCTCCACAATTCACAAACGATAAATTATTTTTCAATCAAATCGTACAGTCAAAACTGAATCCTTTAATATTATATTGAAGGGGGAGTTGAGAGAGAAGAAATGCCTTCAATTCAACTGTTAGATCAAGATTTGTTTTGTGTGCTGGTGAAGGCAGCGAAAAGGGAAAGGAGGGTCCGTTTGTCTGTCTGATAGATTTGTAAGCAGAGGAAAGGCGAGAGGGGTTACCTTAAAGGCTATTTGACTACTTGTGATGCAATAAACCTATTTTATAATCAACCTTTTCCCCTATTTTGTGTGTAATTGAACATTGGTGAGGTTAGTGGGGTGTTGACATTCTCTATAATATCCTGGGCGTTGAGGTGCAGTTATTTCAAGGCAGCTCAAGTCAAATATGACCAACCAGAATAGGCTGATCTCATCACACAGACAACAGTGGTGAGCATAACTGTATACCATTTAATTTGGAAAACACTGATGATGGTAGCGCTATTGCTGCAGTTTGGTAGCTATGACTACGGCATGGAAGATTGCATTACCCCTTTGAATGTCTGAAAGGAGAAAACTCTGAAAAGCTGAGGTTTGCTTGGTTCATACTGTGGTGATGACATTGCAGAATGGACAAACATAACGCAAGTAAAGCTTTGTGATGACTGCTTTTCAACGAAAGGTGCTGTATAAGTATACATTATTGGCTAGTAGAGGAATATACAGTCACAGAATGAGTTCTGGAAAAGCTAGATGCTGCTGCTCAAGGCTACAGACACAACCTACAGACTTTTTCTCTCCTTTAAATCCTAATTTTATAATTTGAAAGCCTTTTTGATTTTCTTTATACAACAATGTAGCCTCAGTGGAGGTCAGTATTAAACACTTTAGTGATCTTGGGTATTCCTGTCTGTCACTGAAAATCTACCAATACAGGTTGGTATCCATTCTTTTAAAGCAGTTACTTTTGTTGCATGTCCTTCGTGCCCTCCGTTCCACCATTGGTGGCTGTGCTTTCAACCACTACCCCCAGAAACTCTGGAACTCTTCCTCTGTCATACCTGAAGACCTTCTTCTTCGACTGTGCCTCCGCTCACCTCTCCCTGGCTCGGGTCGTGTTCCATCACTATCAAGCACTCTGGAACACTACCCTCCCTGAGGGGCACTATATAAATGCAAGTTGTTGTTGTTTGGATGTGCACAATGTGAGCAATGTATGTACAGATTGGGGGTGGAGAAATCTGTACGTCCTTTGGTTTAGGTGGCACAGTTATGTAGCTGTAGCCTGAATGTGACCAATACTAGCCTAACTTCTGTATACATGCATGTAACACCTAACAACTCTAGTTTTATTGGTTGTCAATGTCAGTACCGAGATATTTGCTCAAATATTGAACTTCTACTTGTGTATCTCTGCTTTGATGTTTAACCCTTTACTGCTATTTGAAGAACTAGTAATCTGGTGGCTTTAAGAATTGAACACAAAATATGTGGTCACGATAGCATTAATGTTTCAAATGTGTATTTTTTAAGATGACTACAGTGGCCCTTTATCAAAATGCTTTGTTAGAGTTTTGAATTTTGTAGTGGAAAAATAGTGAATAATCTAAACAATTAGCTTTTCCTCGTGATAAATTGTTATAAGAATTTCCGTATCAGTTTGTGTTTTAAAAAGCTGGTATCCTTTAGAAGTTAGAAACATGTACATATTGAACGGTTGCAAATGCCACTTAGCCTTTTCAGCTTAGTTAATGTGACATTATTTGAAAGTTACTTTGGAATTTTGTTTGTGTAGCAGCTTTGCTGTGAGATCATGTGTGAATCAATGGAACTAGGCTGTGAAGGTTAATTCAGAGAGTCCATTTGGTGCTGACTACAGACTTCCTAAGTTGAATAGTTTCTTAACAAGTGTGCAGTTTATATTGTGTAAGAGTTAAAACTCAGTTTATCATGTCATACACGAAGATTACACCTGATATGCACATATTAATCGAGTCTTTTTAAAAATGATTTCCTTTGCACTGATTGTGAAATCTAATCGATTTAATTTGATTGCAATGGTTTAAATAAAAATAATCTAGAAGAAATTTTCTTAGAATACTTAACGATGGACAAAAGGCTGAGTGATAGTGTTGGAGCTGCTTATCAAGTGGGTAACCAAATGGTGGTTCTAGGGTTAATTGGGGGTTACGCAGAAACCGCCTGTGTGTCCGTTCAAACTAAGCAAAGCTTCATCGCTGACCTTTGTTCAGGTACCTGCAGACCTGCAGATGACTTTGATGAATATTTAATAGAGTGAAAGATGTGGGGTTGGAGCAGAAGGAAAGTGGCACTGTAGCATATTCACTTTCACAAAATAAATACACATTCCATGGCATTTTCAAAAAGCTGTTGAAACATATTAATAGGTACCTTCATCAGAGTGCTAAATGTACTTGAAGTGTTTATGCAATACCATTTGAAATATCATGGTTCATTAGAAGATGAGCTCACCCTGCAATCGCTTTTTTCTTTCTGTTTTTCAGTGGAAGAAATACTGGTTTGTACTGACTGACCACAGCCTGCGGTACTACAAGGACTCTATAGCTGAGGATGTGAGTGGTGCACTTAGAACTTGCTGCTCTTATTTCCCTATCTCCTCCCCCAAATTGGTGTTTGATATTGATATTTAATCTCTTTTCTCTTCTCCTTAATGACGAAAATGACTTGCTTTTTTATGGTGAGGAATGCCCTTTTTTATGAAATTGAATGTTTTGGGGAACATAGATGCAAGGCTATTTGCTCCATCGAGTTCACTCCGCCATTTTCTTAGGTTTTGTTTTGTTTGGTCAGCCGAGCGTTTGAGCCGTGTTGAAACTTATCACCAAGCTTCAGGGTATCCAAAGCAGACTGAGAGCTCCATGCAGGGCACCTACACATGGAAATTCCCGGGTCTGGAATGAAATACTCGTTCTCTCCAGAGGCATGCACTCCGCCTACCTAATTCTGGAGAGTATTAGGTACAGTTGGCAAGAAATATCTTTTATCATGGCTGATCTGTAACTCAATACCATTTGCCTGCCCTTTGTCCATATCTGAAAAAGCCTAGAATGGCACGTATACAGATTAAAAAGCTTCCTTAATTCAGTTCAACCGTGTATAACTCAAATTTCAAAGGGACCTCACTCTCCTGCTCCCCCCACCCTCTGCCACTAATCAGGATATTGTTCCTTATCCTGCACCAGACATCTTTGAGGCTTGGTTGAATCACGCTGTCAGTTTACAGTGTCTACAGGCAAAAGTATTTGCTTTTGCTAACATTAAATTCTGCAGTTGAACATGGATAAGGATAGTTTCAATAAATTCTGCTGAAGATCAAAAATGTGAATATGTTGTTTGTACTATGATGGCATTTAAGCAGACTACCTGGTAACTAATTTGCTTCTCATTTTAGGCATCAGATCTGGATGGTGAGATTGACTTGTCTTCCTGCTATAATGTAACCGAATATCAGGTCCAGAGAAACTACGGATTCCAAATTCACGTACGTTCATCGGTTCTGAAAACCTACTTGGCTCTTAAAACTAGACTGGTGTCATGCTCTCTTGCTGTCTGATATGAAGTGTACTGTTCAAGCGTTCACCAGTGGAGTTGCCGTGCAACATAACCCTTGCTATCAACTTGCTTTTTCCAGCTCCCATTAATGTTGAAATATTTTTGAAGTCATACAGGGAAAGCTTCTATTAATTCAGTGTATTGTTTGATACAGGATATAGTAGGGTCCTGCAGTGTGTAATAGAACAGCAGAATTTAGCCTTACAGATCAAGGTATGACCTTGTGCAAATGGTCTCAGATTGGCGTCCAGGACGAATGCTTTTGTTAACACAGTCGCTCTTAATCGCTAAGCCAATTATAACTACTGGCAATTCTGGTCTCTAATAATAATAATAATAAATGTTTTTCATTTGTTGTGCTGTTCTTGTTGCTGTCTGTCAAGGTTTTGTGTGAAAAAAGTTTTTTCTTAAATGTAGTTTGATAAATGTACAGAAATAACTTAAAACCATGTGCTTATGTCTATAGTTCCTTCATTTTTCTTATGTCTTAAGTATTTTTAGGAAAAACTAGCACTGCAACCACCAGTAAGTGTTGATAGCCACATGCTGAGAACCACTGGGTTAAGAATATACTGTATAACTCCAATGGAGGAGCGAGCACAAGCGAAGGCTTGATGTGCTAAATGGCCTCCTTCTATTCTGTGATTTCTATGAGATATTGCAAATAATTTTCATTTTATCTTACAGACGCAGGAAACTGTGTACACCCTCTCCGCGATGACTGCTGGTATTCGGCGCAATTGGATTCAAGCGATAATGAAAAATGTTCGTCCTTCAACAGCACCAGATGTTGCTAGGTGAGAAATTCCCCATAACCCTACATAGGAAAGCCTATAGCTGTTCATTGCAAAGAGAACTGATGGATGTCAATGATCAGGTGATTGTCATTGCTGAAATGTGTCATTTTGCCCCAATTATTCCTTCAGCTATAGATGAAAGTAAAATGCCCTTTTTAGTTTTTTTTGCCAATTGGTGGTATCTCTGCAATGACAACCATCTGATCATAATGTTTAGTTGGTTGAATTTTGGCAGTGTATGAGCCTGTTTTGTTTCAGCAGCTTACCAGAGGAGCAGTGTGCTGCGATGCCCCCAGATACCATCGGGAAACATGACAGCAAATCTGACTCTCCATCTTCCGAAACGTCATCTATCGACAAAGAGACTGGGCAGCGAAGGAGTCGAGCACGTGACCGAAGACGTGAAGGCAGATCGAAAACTTTTGACTGGGCAGAATTCAGGCCAATAGCACAAGCCTTGGCACAGCAGAGAGCATCAAAATCCGATCTGTGTGACAGCCGTGTGGAGAGCCTCAGCCCACCTCCACCAGAACTGAGTGACTGGGAGCGGACTAAACGGCGGGAGGAACGTAGGAAAAGATACGAGGCGGTGACGGGAACTCCAGGTTCAAGCTCAGTTGATGGAGGCAGGATGGAGTTTGAATCAGCCAGCACCTCACCACCCCCGGATCGACAGAAGAAAGTACACGATGAAATCGAAGAACACTGGCAACAGGTGGAGCGGACACCCCTCAGGGAAGAGCGGCGGATACCACTGGCAACTGTTACACCAGGTTCTCAGACGATGCAGATTGACAAGCTCCTGGAAACCCACGCAAAAGAGGTAGGCACAGAACAAAATGAGTAATATCCTTAAATAACAGCAAATGCTGTCGACTGTAATATAGAACACATGTTCTCTCTTCTCCAGCACTGTGTTCACAGTAAACAAATGCATTTGTTAAAAATTAATAATTCTGTCACGTAGCTATTCCAAAATTGGAAGTTAACGCAAGGTTATTTTTGGAGTGAAAAATTGACATCTTTGTCTAATGATGACGCACGTGTGGATTGCTGGGATAGTGACTGCACCGCCTGGCATGCTCTCTTCGACTGTAAACATCCATCCCTTCAAGTTGAATGGATGCTGTTTAGTTTCAACCATGATTTTTGGTATGTTTAATACTGGTAAAAACGATACAAACTCCTTTATGCACTGTACAGTTGAAGCACTTCCAAGCCTCATGTATGAATTCATTCAGTGTTCCATCATGGGTAAATATCATTGTAGACTATTAACATAATTGTACGGCTAGTTATTTTAATATCATATTTGCTGGTCATTTATGGTAAAAATATTTAATCTTTTGCAAGTATATATAGATAAAAATACACAAAAATGATCATTAAATGTTTTTGGCACCTGTCAAACCCATTTCATCTCCAACACCCCATTTGAGGCTAGCAGCCTGCTGTGTGCTGTAAAGCGAGTATGAATCACACTAGTTCTCCTCATGGTGGGTATGTTTGCAGACCAACATGCTTCAATATCAAGCTGTTACGAATGTTTAGAGTCTTAAAAGTAAAACAAATTTTCCGGCAAAAATATCAAAAATCATGGGTAAAGATTTTGCATATTGTATTATGTTTAGAAATTCTGAGCAGCTTGTTTGTGCTTTGAAAAGATTAAAGTTTTCAAAATAGAGGTTAATTACTGTCTGTCATAAGAAGTCTTGAAATTAATCAGCCATTCATTCCCTCCCACCTGAATATCATAACCAACAACAACAAATTACATTTGTATAGCGCTTTTCACGTCGGGAGGACGTCCCAAGGCGCCAGGAGGAAAATAGTTTTGTAAGTGACTTTCTGTCTTCCAATCGATTAAATCAATCAAATCGATCAATTATTCACGTCTCAAAACCATTTAACTACCGAGGAAGACGCAGTAACTCCTGATTATGTTATAAATTGTTTTTCTTTAGCTTGAAGATTTAAAAACCCAGTTGGAGAACTGCCAGCAAGAACTGTCAGGCTCTCAGAAGTTCAGAGCAGAGCTTGAAGCCCAGCTGAAGTCTGCCATGGAGCGTGAGCAGCAGGTCCGGGCAGGCTATATCTCACAGGTAAGCCCTGTACGGACAGGCATCACCCTTTACATGTAGAGCAAACTTCCTCCTGTATGAACCCTTTGCATGTTTCGTAACTGACAACTTGCCAGAAGTTTTTTTTTAAATGCATGGACTGCTGCATGACAACATGGAGAACTGAACCATTGGTGCTTTTTATGCCATTAATAGCAACCAACGTGCAATGAAACAGTGAAGGCTGTAGATTATGCTTGATGAAGCCAACTGGGAGATCTGGATGGGAGTGGGGTGGAGAAGAGCAGTTAAACATAGTAATCTTCTACGTTTGAGGCAGGCAGAAGAGAAGGAACTTAAGGTATTGTACATGTTGGCTTTAAAAAGCAGTAGTGTTGGAAATGTTTTTTGCGGGGGAGGGGGATGAAGAGGTCAGCTGGGTATCTGACGTGTGGAAACCATTGCGATTACTGAGAATATCCAGACCACAGATTCATGCCCCCTATATAAGGACATTTTTCCAGTATGGAATAATCTGCACATTCCCTACCTGGAAGGGCACACACTGCATTCCAATTTCTGGGGGGGAAGTAACGTGCGGTTTGGCAAGAGGCGAGTTTTGGTGGAACTGCCGGAGTTTCAATAGCTAAAACATAGTTTTAGGATCCGATCCCAAACTAGCATTGATATGTTTGTAAATAACTAGAAAATAATGGATGGCTGTTTGTTAAAAGGAATTTTCCTTTTGAACACATTCCCACAAAGCTCCATTTTTGGGAGGATTTTGAGTTTTTTTTCTTCAGCTTTACTCAGAGTTTTATATCTTTCATTTTCATCGCCATTTATCCCCGAACTGCTATCATTTTGGGCAAAACATTTTGTGGCACATCTTCGTGTTATGCTGTTATTAGAACAGGTGTTCTACAGAAAATTAAGTGTTCAGCTGGATTGTGATTCTTATGTATGTTGTAAACTCTGCCGCATGGTTTAAATAACAGAACTGAGATGAATGACGCCTAATGTTCAAAGCAACAGTACACTGGGGTCTGATTTGTGAGATTTGCAAACGGAATTTTTAGCATTAATTACCAAGCATTAATTAATTGGTTTGCAAACTTCACAGTTAGTCAATCGGAAATCCCATTTGATTTGGGATTTGCTGGCCATGAATTTCAAGTTGCGATTAACGGAAGGAATCTAGTTTGCATATATCAAAGATTAGACCCCATTTTCCAGTATGGAACGGACTAAAAGCTGAACAATAATGATTCCATTAGCCTGATCCCGTTTTTATACATTTCAGCAGACAAGCATTGGAATGGTGGTCTGTAGTACAATTTGATCAGCTCATTGTTTCTGGAATTGCAGCTGAATTGCCTGTTTTAATCCTTTTGATGTTTGCCTTTATAAATTCAATCGGAGTGTGTCCTGGATAGAATTAGCCTCTTCTATGTTTGAATTTTAATGCTTTTAATTTTGTGGTTAGTAAACACTGAATCTGATTCATGGAATTTCTGTGAAAGGCATGTAAAACTGATGCAATCTTGGAAAACAAAAGTGTAAAAAAAGAGCTGCAATTTCACAGAAGTAATTGTGCGGGATTATGGTCCATGATTTTGATAGGCCTGAAATTTACAAGCATCACAGGTATGAGTGATTTGAGTCCTTCCTCACCAGTGGAATGAGCTAAATAGCACACTGCTGTGTTTACAGTATCTTTCTTTGTAATTTAGACTAAATATAGACAATGTTATTGAATTTTCATAACACAGATGAAGCATTTATAGTTGAACTGCGAGATCTACTTTCTTACTCGTCCATTAATATGGCTGGAGCTCTGTGTAATGGGTGCCTTGACATCTGTTTGAAAAGGCTCTGGGATGAAATCTTCTCTTCTGTGTTTTTTCACAAAGATTTTAACGTATAAAGTTTTAGTTGCATACAAGTTCAGCAAGTGTGGTTTTTTAAAATCCCTTTGCCCTTTGGTTCATTCTTTGAGATATAGAGTTCCAGTTGCTTGTTATCCTCAATAATGGATCCAGTTTAACCCAAAACTGGTTTAAAATTATATTTTATAATACCCTCAATAAGGCAGTTATGGGGAAACTATCTCCTCTGGTGAGGGAATCCAAAATGAGGGAACAGCATCTTAAAATTAGAGCTGGGCCATTTATGAGTGAAACCAGGAAGCATTACCTTCACACAAAGGATTGTGGAAGTCTAAGGTCAATAGATAATGTGTTAGGTAAGGGTTATCAAGGCATATTAAGAATAGGTGGATAAATGGAGTTGAGGTACAGATCAGTTGATCTAATAGAATGGTGGAACAGGCTTGAGGGGCTAAATGGCCTCCTCCTTCCTAGGTTCCTAAATGCTAGTTTAAGATTTTGGTATTTATTTAACTTCTAGTTGTCTTGATTTCATTGACGATAGAAATGTGGGATTGGTGTCTAGTTGACTTTGTGGACTCGTACATTTTCCTGGTTGAATTCTGTACCACATTGTGCTGACTTTTAGAAAGTTCAGTGTGCCTGTCACGCATGCACACAAATACTCAGATTAAGTGTTATTTGAAACTGTTCTGATTGATCTCACTAGTTACGTATTTCAGCACTGCTCCACTTAGTAAAGATTCTTCTGCTTCATTCATTCACTGTATCACCCGCCCTCCAGTACGAACTGCATGTTGACAAAAACCTTTCTACCGCTCCACAGTGCACATAGCAACCTGCCTCCGCACCGAATTCACCAGCTGCCACATGGCCATTATGTATACCTGAACACACAGTATGTCCCAGAAAGTAAAACCAATAGATCATTATTTTTCAAAATTATAGTAATTTCAACGGGGTGGTGGGGGTGGGGAGAGAGAGTATAACTGTAATATTTTTGTCACTCATTGTGTCCCATTGTGTTTCCTCTGTATTAAGTGCTTAACTTGAAAGAAATATTGCAATTTTCCCCTTTTTGTATCCAATATAAGCACAGGTCAAATGGAAGATAAGCGCCAAAATGTACTTCAAACACAAGCCTTTGAGGTTACTCAAACCAACGATCAATCTTTTGAGCAAGGTTGCAAATTTTTGTTGTTTCCTCACATGATTGTATGACCATTAGGAGCTGGGTAGTGACTGCCCTGCATAGTTTTATTCATGGTGTTTGTGACCGACAGAGAGGAGACTTGTCATCCATCACAAGAGAGGTTTGGATGAAGAATGCTATGGTGCCATTTTGATCTAATCCTTCCAGAACACATGCCACCTTCCCATGCTTCTTAATCGAGTCCAGTGACCTAGCTTTAATCATCTGCCTGGTAACCTGTTCCAATTAATTACCCAAGATGTAAGAAATATTTCCTGGTGACTGACCCAAACTCGCCCTAAAGAAACCGAGAAACCTGTTGTCCTAATTGGCATGTACAGTATTGATCTAGATTCACTTTCTCTATTCCATGAAATCTTTTACGTCTCTATCAGTCAACTCTGAGGTCTCCAAGCCTTGGCTCTTACCAGCATGCGCCTAATGCTCTCCAGATTTATGTAAGCAGGGAGCGTCCACCAGGGAGAATATTCCATTCCAGATACAGGGATGGTTTGGATACTCTGAAGCATTGTAATGGTTTTCTACACATGTGAGTTACCTGGCTGGCCAAAATAAAAAATAAATCCAGTCCTCAGAGAGATTTCTTCTTACATCTGAGGAGTGCTAGCCTATATAGATCTCTTTCCAAAACAACAACAACTTGCATTTATGTAGCACCCTTCATGTGGATTAACATCTTGGAGCGCTGAACAAGGGCACAGTTTGATGCCAAGCTGGGGAGAAAGGGTAGGTGACTATAGGCGTGGTCAAAAGTTTTTCTTTAAAAAAACTGAATTGTTTCAAAATCTCAAGCTTTCATTTTTAATGAGCAATGTCATTACTCATTGGAATTATAGATGGAATAAAAAGTCGCACCTGAAAAACCCATCCAAAATGTTGAATATGAAATGATGTGTATTTACTTGAGCAAAAACCATAAACAGTTGGTTGTTTTATGGCTTGTTAAACATTAGTCATAAAGTGACAATCCCTGACAAATGCTGAACCCCTTATAGGGACAAACATTGATCTGTCATCAAAACATTGATTTTCAAGATTATTCAAACTCTTATCGACCTGAAATCTGGGGTCTCATTGTTTGATCAATCCTTAATGTTTCTAAAATGTTGAAAGATTGTTCATAAATCTCTGGTCAACACTTAGCAATATTTCAAAAGAGCAAACTGCAGATGTACAGCACCATGCTAGGTGGGATATGTATACATTCGGTACGTGTTGTCTGACTCATATTAAAAATGCTAGAGTGTGATTGCCATTGAGGGTTATAGTATAGAAACTTTGGCAGTGCCAGATTATCAGCCTTGCCAAGTGCACTACCTAAATCACCCAGGTTCAGGTTATCCCCTGCCTAGTGTAGCATCTAACTCGCTACTCAGGATTGCTGTACTAACTGCGGATTTGTGGATTTTTAAAAAAAATAGGCAATCACAATATTTTTTTTTGACCCAAGTCTCAAGTGCTTGTTTTTATTCAATTTCAACTGATACTCTTAATTCTTACGTAGCAACGTGGCATTTAGACAGTCCCCTCAGGGACATTCGATGCTGCTTCAAGGATTCGTTAACACGTCTGTTGGTCTTTGCTTTCAAATTGATATCCAAGTCCTCCCGTGGCCTAGAGGAGCGTTTACGGTGCACAATCTTCGGTACCCTCCTCCTGTAGGTTGAATGGCGGGGTCTGCGACTAATTCTCCTTCGTCGCCTTCCCCGGCACCTGGTTTTCCTCATTTTTCTCCCACATCGTTTGTGGGGGCGACTGCGTCTGGAACGATATCTTAATTTGGTCATGGTTATTTTGACTTCGACAACTGGTTGAGTCCTATCACACCAATTCGAGATTTGTTAGTGAATATTAGCCCCCTTCGAGGTCCCTTTTTATTGAGTGGGACCGCCATTGTTGAATGACCTAGCCTGTTGGTATGATTATGATGCAAGTTGACACTGCCATTGAATGACAGGGTCAGCGGGTAAGGCATTGACATCCATATTTGGTATTGATTATGTTATACGTTGATATTGCCTTATAAGGTATTATTATGTCCCTTATGATCAATTATTATACCGATACACCACATTGACTGTAATTTCCCAGACGGCTTTCATGCCATATATGGTCAAATTAATCAAGTGGCCATCAATTTCCGCTAGTCCCAGTTATGTTTCCTCCTGCTTGCTATACCACCCATACCCACAGTTCGCTTCTCTTTGACCTAGATGCATCTCCACCCTTCCACACCTGAAAAGGTAGTGGTGGGGCCTTGATGTACGCAAGCGACAAGCATCAGGCAATCGGTAGCTCACTCGCTCATAGCTGCACACAACACAGATGGGTAGACAGTAAACCTGAACAGCTTGTATTGTACTTGCACATTGGAGTGACTTCCTTATTATTAGAGTAGTGCGATTATATAATGCTACACTGGGATCTGGGTATATGATGCACAGAGCAGAGTTCTGAGCTTTTGAAAGTTTGGATGGATCCAAACTATGAAGTCAGTGCTATTTTTCATGATTGTTGGTAGTTGTTACAGTATTTGTTTGTAGTGTAAATAATATAAAAGGGCAAATGTATAGAGGGATCCAAGAATAAAAGCATTGGATTTAAGATTTGATGGGGGGAAAAAAATCCTGCTTTACGTTGAGTATTAATTATATGCTAACTGTGCATTTATAGTACTTGCCTCCTGACCAATAATGCTAATTTTCCATGTGCATGTTTTCTGAAATACTAACCATAATCTTTCTTTTGTTGATGTAGAATGCTTTCTGTATTTTTTGCTTAATTTACGCAACTAATAGTTAATACTCTGGCCTTTTTGCTTACTCACAGAAACATTTTTTTGTTCCTTGAATAATGCTGACGTTTTGAAATCTACGTGAAGAAAAAGTATATTTACAAACCAATAATTGTTTTAAGCTCCATTATTGGGACTGAGAAGCAAAACGTAAACAGTTTATTCGAAAACCTTTTTCCATCTATGTTAACCACTGTCTGGTCCCCCTTTTCTAAGCTGGAGCCACCTTTGGCAAGTTCAAACGCCTGGCAACAGCTACAGAAGCTGAACCAGGACCTACAAGCTGAGCTCGAAGTTCAACGGCAGAAACAGGAGGTGGCTAATACACACGCTCAGAGCCTTAAAAAGAACTACCAGGATGCCAAGGAACTGCTGAGACAGCAAGAGACAAAAATACAAACCTTACAGGCCAGACTGGACATGTCTCTGTCTGAGGTAGCAATTAATGAACAGTCGTTATCCAAAGTCCAAAAAGAGTTGCGCCTGGAACGCCAGAGATACAAGGAGCAGGCTGATGAGTATGAGCACAAGTTAATTATGTTCAGTGACCAGTTACGAGATAGTGAAGAGAAACTTAGGGAAGTGGAAGGACTGCTTCTTGAAAAAACACAGGCTTTTAGGGACCTGGAAAGGCAAATGGCTCTTCAGAAAGACTATCAACGAGAAGTGAAACGGCTTCAAGAGCATCTGGAAGATGCCAGCAGCAGACTGCTGTGCAGTGAACAGGGCGTTATTCTGAGTGAAGAACGTTTTCAGAAACAGTATGAGAGTCTTAAAGAGAAATATGAGAAGGAAAAGGAGCTTTTGTCACGCAGTGTACGAGAGGCTGAGGAGAGGGTGAGAGAGTATGAAGATCGCCTCCAGACTCTTGAGGTTCAGTTGCAGAAAATTCAAAAAGAAAAGCTCGCCACCTCTTTTAAAAGCAGTGAAGTGGTCAGACAAATGGAGGAGCATGTTGAGATGAGTGAGGGAACAGTGAAGAAACTGACGCAGGACCTAGACATTTTGTCAACTGAGAATGGGCGGTTGACTCAACGCTATCAGGAAATAGTTAACCAGCTGACTGAAGCTGACCGAGAAGTCGAAGGGCTTAAGCTGGATTTGGTTAAGGAACGAGAAGGATATCGGGATTTGAATGACGATTTTGAAAAAGCCGTTCAAGAGGTGAATGTCCTGAAAAACGAATTAGCCGAAAACCATTTTAAATTGGTGGCAGTGAAGGAACCTTATGAACGAGAGCTTGCAAAGAAAAACAAGGACTTGAACGAGGCTTTAATTAAACTGGAAGCTTTGGGTAGCAGCTTGGAGGAAACTGAAAAGAAGCTTCATCTTAAGGAGGCTACACTCAAGGGCCTTGGCTGGCAGGTACCAACAGAAGTAGATCTGCTCCTCGAGAAAAAGGAAGAGCTACAGATCAGATTAGAAGATGCAGAGTCCAGGTTAGCTGAACAGGACATGAAACTGAAAGTAGCTGAAAGCAGTTACAGGGAAATACTTTCCCAAAACAATGAGCTCAAATCAAAGCTGGAGGTTCATGAGCAACACAAAGCAGAGTTAAACCTCCAAAGGCTTCCCAAAACACTTAAAGCTGCTGAAAACATTCCTTGTTCTGCAGCTGGTATATCTGAACAGCAGGTTCAGAGCTCAGTGAAATCCAGTGCACAGCTTTCTAATGAGTTGGTGGCAAGGCTTCAGGGTTTGGACAGTCGCTTAACTGCACTGATTGATTCACGAGGCCCACAAACTGAACCAATTTGTTTTTCAGTAATGCCATCTTCCGATATGGACCCTGAACAGTCTTGTCAGACAGCAATGGTAGATAGTTCTATCGCGGATCTGCAAAAGTATCTTGCAATTATGCACTCACTTGAAACTAAATTACTGATGGCCGAGCAACAAATGGAAGCAGAAACTTCATATCCTCTAAGTACATTCACAAGCCCACAGTGCAGTTCAGAAAACGTTGGAAGTATGTCAGACCCTGGAGTGCATCCAAAAGAGCCATTAGATGGAAACCAGACTCCAATCTGCTCACACTTTGAACAGGTTGCTAGCTCTGAAGACAAACATAAGATGTTAGTGCAGGCCACCAACTCTGAGTTTCAAGCACTAGAGGCCAAGCTTCTTCAGCTGCGTAATGTTTTGGAAGGTTTACAATCCAAAGCTGGCAAACTTGCTCAAGGAAAGGAAGTGGAACAGCAGGGGCAGCAGGTGTCTGAATTGATACATGTGCTCGGCAGCTCTGTACAATACTTACAACAAATGGAGGCAGATTTAGCCAGGAAGAATAGAGCATTTAGTAGCGAAGATGCTTTAGTGAGAGTTTCATTAACTGAAGAAGAAAAGTTGAAGTATCTGATTAACAAACTGTCCCTTGAAGCAGCAGCACTTAGCAAAGTTGCCAGTATTTTAGAGAATTCAGAATCCGATCTAATAAGCACTTTGCATGAAATTAGAAAACATTCTGAAAGCATCACATTGCCTTCAGTGCCCACTGAAGAAGTTGATGCTCAAATAGGATATTCTGTTCTCAAAAAGGTATTGATAGAAGGAACGTTTTGGGCAAATTTGCCCAAAATGTATGAGAGTCAGACTTCCAATGTGGAAGAACCTTTGGGTGAGCCCATAAACAGTTTTCTGAGCATGATGGCAAACAGTATGTTAATAAAAGGTGAGATGATGTTTTGGGCTCACAATATTTTGGTGGTTTCAGAAGAAAAACTGCAACAGTTGAAAGTGAAATACACAAAAATACATGATCGCAACAGCAAACATGAACGGATGCTTAGGGATGTTGTAGAGGGTTTTGGGACATGTTGCTTTGAAGCACTAATAGGGGAAATCGGTCGTGAATTATGTAAAACCGAAGAGGGTGAATCACTTTTGTCCCCTTGTACTGAAGCCCCTGAACTATCATCCTTGGCCATTTCCTCTGGTCAGGAAATTGAACTAGAACATTCTGTTAGAACCGAGTTGGCACAGCACATTCGGGGAAATGCATACTTACTGAAACACGTTCCCATTCTATTCAGTCCGGTGCAGATGATGATCTTGTCCTCTTGGCCAGGCAACTGGCTCGTAGCATGGACTGTATACCTGCATTAAGCAGGCCTAGTGATGCAAAAGACATCTGGCCACTCCTCCTTCAAGATGCAGTAATGCAAGCTGAATTATCGTATGTAATCTCACGGATTCAGGTGCAAAAAGACCTTGCACAGAGTAGTGAGATTCAGATAAGGCTGGAAGCTCAGGAGAGAGAACACACAGACTCCATTGCTTTGTTGCAGAACAAATGTGCAGCAGATCTAGAGAAACAAAAGCAAGATCATGAGTTTGAGGTAACAAAATTAAGAGGAAATATTACAGAGCTTCAAAAATTAAATATTTCAGGTGCACTAGCTGGTGCCAGGACCACACATATCCAAATTGAGGGTGAGCCAATTGACTCGCTAGACAAAGCAATTGAATTGCAGGACATGGCAGCAAGGCATAAGAAGGAGTTGAGGGAAGTTCGAGAAGCATATGAAGCAGAGGTTGAGAAATTGAAAAGGGAGATAGCAAGGGCAGGAGAGACATTAAGACTTAAAACCGAGGAGAATGTGAAGGAAATTGATTCATTAACGGTCTGCATGGAAAACCTGAAGAAAAAGCATGTTGGAGAGCTGAAGAGACGGCAGGAAGAATTTAAGACTGAGAAGAGGGAGCTGGAGCTCAGGCACGCTAGGGAAAAAGAGGAGTTTGTAAGAGAAATGGAAACTTTGAAGGAAAGCAGAGATCCGAAAGAGTTGGACCTTGTAAGTGATCTGAAGAGATCTGAAGAGCCATGTACAAGACCTGGAGGTGAGCCACGTTCCATGACTGCGCTCCGGGAACGCATCGAAGAACTTGAGTCCCAGGTGGATGCTATGAGAAGTGAGATAGAACAGCACGAACTGAAAGATGATGCAACATCTCTGCGACAGAAATATGATAAAGACCTGGAGAATCTCAAGGTGTCAGTGTGTTTCATAATACTGGCTAGTAACTGCATGTTGGCTTGTAGCTCTAGACCTCGCTGCCAGCAATTAGCTGTGTTTGTGTCCTGTACTGTCCTCCAAACTGTATAGAAGGTAGTAGACCTGCATGATGTACTGTTGAACTGGGCAAAGTCGGGGAAAGAAACCTTTTCAAATTCTGGGTAAAGCTGAATTGTAATAACGTGGTTAGTCTATAATACTTGGTGAAATACAAGGAACAATTTACATTTTCTCAATGCACAAATATTTGCACAAGACCATCCAAATTCTGAGTAAAGGTTATTCCATTCCAGCCAGCTTACAATCAGAGTTGAAGTTGTTCATACCAGTAATTGCCCAGTTCTTCTCTCTTGTGTTGGGTTTTGTGTGTGTTTTTATGTGCTTACCTTATAGTCTTCAATAATCTTTTCAACTGCAGTGAAACCCGTTTACCTGTTATACATCTGGCTAATGATTTTCAACAACTAAATTTTTTTCTGTATATTTGCCAGACAGCTAAATATGTACCACATCCGTTGGAAGGAAAGCTTAAATGCAGTAATGTCCAAACAAACTGTGTGGTGCATTAACTTATGAAACGTAACATAATAATAATAATAATAATAATCCTTGCATTGCTCCACATGTGCAACTCTGGAAGCCAAGAGAATATTTTAAAAACCTGTATTCAATAAGAAATGATAGTATTTGCTATATTCTGTTGCTGTGGCTTCCACTTGGCATTATTATTAGATATATTGAGCTCCTGTGATCAGGCCCAACTTATTTCTGAATTGATAGCGTAATCCTATAATTTGAAAATATCCCAACACTGTTCACAGTAATTACTTTGAAGCGAGTGACTGTGTTTGTAGGTGAATGCCACTTCACTTTAAAATGCCCAAAGTTTGACAAAATGTAATTTTCTGAACTCTTATTGAAAGGAACGTCAGACACAAATTTTGAGAAGTCAAAATGAGCACAAACTGTACTTGTGAGACGGCCCTACTTTGCGGGTAGCATTCGAGTGGCCTCACTCTTCATAATACTTTATAAATCACTCTTATCGATATTTTTTTAAATAACCGATTGCTATCGAAACCGGGTTTGAACGCATTTGATAAGAAATGTGCACTTCCAGTCTGGTGGTGCTTAGTTATGCGAAGCCGTGGGCTGCGTTACCTTTTGCCGTTTGTCTTGATGTTATGCTACTAATGTATCTCTTCCTTTTTCTTTCTCTTTCAGTTGACTACATATCTCTGTCGCACTAATAAATCTAACCGTTTACTTTGCTTAGTAGATAATGCAGTGAATACGCTTAATGCAATTGAGGGGCCAAAGACATTTGGCTCAGATTAGTCCATAAAATAAATAAATAAATAAATAAGTCCTAAATAATATGTTTTGAGGCGCTATCTGTCACTGCCCTTTGTATCTGGAAAATTGGGTTCAAATCTAACCAGGGACAGCAGATCACCATTTTTAGGATTTTTAGGTTTGCCCTTTGGTGGGCAGCAGTAACAGACTCCGATCAATAGGTATGAGATTATAAACAATTTACGGGTGGGGAAGAAGCTGTTTTGAGACGTATTTAGTAGCCAGTGAATATTCAAACCATAATTAAGTTGCTGTAAAAGATGTGTATTCTCTAGTTTACATAGTCGCATATAGTCGCAGATTTTACACCTGAATGCATCATTTCAGCTTTGGGGTTGTCAATTGAGTTTGATGTTACAATTAGTATTAAAGTGTTGTTTTTGCCTTTGAGTTTGTAGCCCACATGAGAAACTTGGTATGAAGCCCAAGATCACGCAATGTGTTCCATTGCTTAAATTTGTGATTGTGGACTTGAGTTGAGACAGTGACTTCTAGTTAACTTTTGTAACTCCCAGTGGACTGCTTTATTGCAGTTGTATATCTCTCGGGACGACTTGTTTGTGTGCCCTTGGCCCCCAAAAAGTCCACAGTGCAATGCAATGATATCCCAATATGTGGAGAATTACACACCACCTTTGCTCATATCCTCACAACCAAAGCAGATGTGTGGAGGTAGCCATTCAATACGAGATGTTCGCATGAAGAAGTCCCTTTGGCACATTTGATCTCATCCTTTCATAATATCCATCCTTTTGTCCTATCACAGCATTGAGCTGTATGAAGGAGAAGGGGAGTAAACCCAGAATACAGCAAAGCTCTGTAGAGGGCGAAAGGGGTGGCATAGTAATGCGCCTTTTGAAATATACCTCGGAGACCTGAGGTGAATTATGGCTGTTACTGTATCTTCAAACTGGCAACGTGGAGGGTACAAATCCAAGGTAGAGTGAATATGAAGTCTCCTTGTAAAACCTCCAGTGACTGGGTGCCTATAGGAGGAGGGCCTGGGAGAGAATGATTTTTTTTGAGAGATGGAAATTGGATAATGAGTGGAAACATATGTTCATGAAAAAAACACGTTGAACAACACGACAAAAGGGAGGGGTTGAAGTGTGAATTGGTGGTAAGTCAGTACGTCCTGAACAGACATCTTCATGCCCATTTAAGAGCAATCAATACAATTACTCTTATCAGTTTTCAATTAAACTTTGTAAAACTAATTTGCCTCCAAGTGGGTTTATTTAATATACCAATACAATTCTCATAGGCTATTTACACTTTTTAATACACATGAGCTGTTTTCTAAACTAGTCCAGTGTTTTGACATTTATCACTCCAGCTGTGGATTGTCATTTAGGTAAAGTAATAGTTCCTGGTATTTACTCTGAAATTGCTCTTCACACCCCTGAGACGCTGCCCTCTTTGTCTTGCTGTGTTTTTATTAAGCATAAATAGACAATGGCCTCCATTACTTCACCCAGGTATCCATGTGAATTCATGTTCATGTGAATATAAACAGTGAGTGTTGCCAGGCTATTTGTGGTTGCTACCCAATTGATTTTACCACTTAAGATCCACAAGAGTTACAATAGAGTGGGGGAAATTAGATAGATTAGTTGGATTTTGTGTTTTTGGTGGAGTAATCTTTTTGTTGGTTAAAAGTACAATATTCTAAAGTAATCACAATTACATTGAAATGCAAAACAAAGGATCCAGCATCAATCTTTTGAAGATGATTCTTTATCTTGCAACTCATATTTTTAGTTGAGCCAGGCTGGTTTGAAATGGAAGATTTTGGCAGACGTAGTAGGAGATGATTCCAAGTCTCTATTGCTTTTCTATGGATAGCCATGACATATAGCTGTGCAATTTGCAGTATGTGACATAATCTGTACAATTGTAAACTAAGGTTACTCCGCTTCTGATGGTATTCCACACTGAATAGCCACCAGCCAACCATTTCTCTTCTTTTTCTCCCCCCGTCCCCCCAATTCATAATTACTTTCACTCAACTCTACACTGGATGATAGTCTGAGATTAATTTATGACGTAAAGAGCCTAAATTTCCTAAATGTCAATTTGCCAGATATTACATAATAAAACTATTTCCAACATAATTTCAGTACTCAAGGGTTCATTAATTCCAAAGTGACACTTGCGCTAAGAATAATGAAGCATTTCTAATTTATTTTATAAAGGGTGCAAGTGTTTTATGGTTAAAACTTTGTGCTTGAGGTTATTGCTATATTAAAATGGTTGAATTGCTGTCCTACTGTGGCACTCATCTCACCGAGAAGTAAAAGGGAATTCGAGTGTTATGCAATTGAACAGTTTAATGGGATTTTTTCCCAACCCCAGCTGTGTAGATGGAGAGATGTGGATCTCTCTCAGGCGTATTAAGTGAGGAGATGCAAAGCAGTGTCTGGTGTCTTCCCTTGAGAGGAGAGGGGCAAATATTGGGGGGAGAGAGAGGCGTTACATGGATGTGGGCTGCCTGTCTCTGTGGACAATTGGACACGGGGAGACCCATTAGCAGTGGCTGGGAAAGCTCTTCATTTAGAGCTGTCAGACTGGACAGATGAAAAATCAAGGATAAAATTAGAAAAATAATTTTTCCTCACGTGTACGGCTAGAAATATTACTTTGCTGCAAAAAAAAGATGGATGAGCAAATAACTTTTTTATACAGCAAACAGCATTGTAACACAGTATACATTAGCAGCACGTTATTCAGGCATTGACATCTAATTATGTGGGTGATCTCTGAGTGCAGTGTGCCTTTACCAGTGGGT